TCTGAGGACAAGAATAAGCTGCAGAGCTCTCCATTTCCTTTCCTTTGGCTTTTGTTAGAGAGATAGGTACCACAAAGTTACAGCCTGCACGAATCTGTTGAGCTCCCACAGTATTGCACCCACTACAAAAAATACAGTTTTACTGATAAGTCTGGAGGGGGTCCCAAGAGCTGTGGTAGAGACCTGAGAGGTTAAATAAATGAAGATCACACCTCAGACAGCACATCCTTACATCTTTAATACGTAAGAATTCAGACCAGTGATGAAGAAGAAGAGGAAGAATATTATATGTGGGGTTTTTTTTGCTGGCAGTCTCTGCAGAAGCTATGTATGTACAGTCATAGACTGACACGCAGACTCAGAGCTATTTTCCCAAAGCCTGTAGGACCTTGTCTAAACAACAGCTTCAGAACGTGTGTGTATGCAAATAAATTAAGGAATGTCTGGTCTATAACGAGCAGGGTGTACTGTGGTATAAATAGCACAGAATGCATTAAATAAACACTGTCACATATGACCAGATATCTATTAAACGAGCACATCACGAGAGAAGTTAATTATCTAAGCCTAACTAGGAACCATTTAGAATCACTGGAGATTACGCTGCTTTATTTCTGTTTATCTTTCCTTCTGAATAGGCAGTAGGCTGTAGCAATGAAGAGAGTCCCAAAGCAACACAGAGCTTCAGCTCTTAATCAACCATAAGACAACAATAGTTTGACATTCTGATCAACCAATAATTTTCTTCCAAGTAATTTTAGACAAAATATGCTGGCATGAAATAGCATTTAGGATGTGAAGTTGCAAGATATTTATGGTTCTTTTGATACCTTAAGCTGCTCAGGGGAAGGACGACAGCTTCCACGGCATATTTTATGTATATGTTTTTGTCAGATATATTACACCAAAAAAAGTACACTTTGACTTCTTCAAAACTGATTGTTAGTGTCAGAGATTAATACCTCTGGAGTAAAATATAACTTTACTGTATTAACAAGATTTTTCTAGACTTGCAAGCTAGAATGTTTCAGTTCAGAAATGAAAATTTCTGCTAGAATGAGATTCTGCTTGGGCCATGACATTCACAGGGAAAACCATCTCCTATTCAACCTACCCAACACAGTCAATGTTGCAAATGTGCTTTAGTTAAGAACGCTTGTGCAACCCACCCTAACACACAGAACAACTGATGAAGAAATATTTAATTACATAAAAATCTTGAAAGCAACACCAAGCCAATCCCTTTAAATTACTTAAGTATGCTTAAAACCTGTAATAGTATATAGCAATAAATATTTCATCTTTAATAAGCCTATTGGGAGCAGTTTGCTAAACATTTATTTTCAGTTGAGAGGAATTATGTATGATCATTTTATCACATTCTGAGTAAGACAACTTGTTCCCTTTGATACCCATAGTAATGGAGACACTTATTTGGGAAAATATATATTTCCTCCAAGGGTTCTCCTCTTCCATAGCCCAAGGAGCAGAGGCATAAGCCCATATCCAGAGGAAGGACACAAGAGGTGCATATTCAAGCACCTTTCCATCATGCAGAGGGCTGCATCAGAGCTGCAGGGAGGAGCACTCAACATCGCTGCCTTCTACCAAGTCCCTGAGCAAACACCTTTAATTTCACTGCAAGACCATGAATGTCAGCAAATTGGCAGACAAATGCATAGGAACCAGCAAACATTTCTGCAACTAAAATTGTATTTCATTATTTCACACAGCATCTTTAGCAATGACAACAATTGTTTTCCCTTCTAAGTTAATTAGGTTTCCATTTGCCATTAATGACTGCTCACTTAAATATCACAAAGGAACTGCCTGGTGCACTTATTAATAATTGAAAACTTGGAGAAATCTGTGAAATATTTTCTGTCAAAGCTGATGATTTCTAACATATTATTCTTCCCAAATAATTTTTTTTTTTGTTCTTCTTAGGTAATAAGACATATTAAATAAAAGCACTAAGAAAAGCACAATCTGAATTAATAGCTGAGAAGTATCTAAAAATCAGAAGATTTGAAATCTAGCATAAAAACGCAACAATTTGAAAATAGGCAATATTCACCTGTTTCCTTCTTTCAAATATGTTGCATTTCTTTCAGTCTGCATGGTGTTTCCTAACACCTTCCAACAACGATCAAGAAAACAAAAGCACCTAATCTCTATCCTTGGTTTGCATACACATTTCTTAAATCAACAATGTCCCTCAGATTGAGTCTTTTATTACTTCACAATTGTACTTGGAGAACCACTAAATGATCAAAAGGGACATGAAAATACCAAAAACCCAGAACTAACAGAAATCTTCAGTGCCTTCTGGCTGTAGTTACTCTGCTCGTTAACGTTTAGCACCCAAGAAGGACAGAAAGATGCGCGCAGAACAACCCTCCTCTGCAGAGATTTGGTGCACTAAAATGTGTGATTTATCAGCACAGAAGGTCTCCACAAAAAGTACTGATCAAAGATCCAGGACCTGCCAACTTATCCACAGCAGCAGAGGATGACAAAAAGCAGCAGTCCAGCACCTGTCCCTGCCAGCAGATCTCGCTGATGGGGATGACGGTTGCAGCTGACTAAAGGCCAGGCATTCCCCTCCAACCACAGAAGAAGAAGGAATTTTTAGAGCTGTTTTTAAAAAACAACCACCTAACCAAACCAGATTTTTCCACCATCTTTCACTCAAACACTTCCTCACCTTTTCCACACATGATCAGCTGCTCTCACACTACAAACAGCAGTATTTTACATCCTGAGAAGCCTTTGCCCACGGCTTGCATCAGAAAGCCACTGTCACACTGTGCTCAGCCCTAGGCCTTATGGTCCCCAGCAGCTCTGAGAACGGCACAAATCCCCCCACCCCATGGCAGAACAAGGTGCCCAGGCCGACTCCCACCAGCCCTGTCTCTTACCTTCCTGCAGAAAAACCAGCAGCTGGGAGCCCGCAGCCTCCCACTCTGCCAAAGCACCTTTTGCAGCAGTCAGCAGGGGCCCAGCTACAGTCCTCCTTTCTGGGAAAAATGGGAACGTTTTCAACAATGACCACAAAGGAGATAGAGGCAAAGAAAAGCTAGGAGTTTGGCACAAAACCTTGAGCTTTAACCAGCTAGCATCAGGCAGCCTTTCAGTGGCCAACCCACACAGGCCTGTTCCATCAGCCATAATTAGGTGGCCACCTGTGCTGAGGAACTCGTTAGCACCTGGTGCCCTAACGGCCCTCCCCATGCTGCTACTCCAGCACTGACTGGTGGAGTTGTCCCTAAGATCTGCTGAATTGCTGAATCAATGCACAGGTCAATAGCAGACTCGTTAACTTTGTGACAAATCTGCATCTTCTTTTAAGGGAACTTCTAGGCTGGACGTGGCTCTGTACAGCCTGGTGTGGTAGTTGGCAACCCTGCCTGCGGCAGGAGGGTTGAAACTAGATGATCTTCGATGCCCTTTTCAACCCAGGTCATTCTATGATTTTATGACTATCTGGCTTAATGTGATTTTTGAGTGTGCCTTTCATGCATTTCATGCTTCACACAACGACTAAAGTCACAGTTGCCACAGGAAAAGGCTAGATCAAGCAACACGTGGCTGCAACACGTGTAAAGCTAACAGTAATCAAGTCCGATGTGAGGAATGGACTTTCCTTAGTGCATACTTTTTTTGGCATTCATGCACGATGTGCTGCCTCACCCTCAAATAGAATGAGGTCAATTGACTTCATATCCCCTGCTCTCTTACTTCCTAGTTATACAGCTAGGATCAGAATGCCAGCACAGACAAGCTGCAAAGCCTATCATACTTCAGTTCTTTGCAAGCGCTTGCCAAAGATTATCTGGTTGTTAATTATGTACAAAAAATTTAACTGTCAGCTAGTTCTAACAGTACTTTTTCTGTGACCAGAGACTCTTAGCTCAGTTTAGAGAAACTTTAGAGTCTTTAGAGAAACCTGCATTCATTGTTGATAATGCAGCTATTACTTAAAAACTCTGTAACTTTTTTATACGAGGGGCTATGTTGTAGAAGAATTCTGCAAGTAGGTGTAATCTATGCATTTAGCTATTTCTAATCCTTTACTGGCTTTTGAACACTTGCTATCTGAAAGTGCAGGCAACAGTAACAACAATTTAATAATGTTGAGCCAAAATGTTTAGAGAAATGAAGTCCTGTATTGAAATCGGAGAAATTAATTCCAGTCCAACCCTTGTAATTAGAAAATTCTGTTTGGAACTAGAAATGTGAGCATTTCTAGTATAACCTCAGTGTTTTTATCACTACTTCTAACCCAGTGGTTCTAAGTAATTAGCTTTTTGCAGTTCAAATGCTGTGTCTCCTTCTTTGCCTCTGAATTTAAATAAGCTACTATTGGGGAAACAAACAGAAACTGTAAAAAATGAGCTGCCCTAGCATTCTCATGAATGGATACTAACAGCAGCCTTCAAAAGAGAAACTGTCAAAGAGAACAGGCATAACAAAGAATTTCTTACATATTTTATTGTTTTGTTCTGTGTTTTTTTTACATTCTCTGATGGAATTTTTATGCAATTATTATGCCACAATCTATGACACACAATGAAAATGGAAACCTGCCATTCACCACTTACATTTCTAGGTTAATTTTGTTTCTTACCTCTGCATTTACTGTGGCACAAGTGCATTTATCATATTTCATGCAGCACTGACCTGCTTTATGCAGACTGAGAACACAATGAGTGGTGCCAGCAATGTTTAGGCGCATTCAATTATTACCACAGAAACACAGATTCATAGAAGCATTAAAATACTTTGGGTGATGGTTACTGCCCATCAGCTTAATGTTTTGAACTGCAGAAATGGACAGGAGACAATCTTCACTGCTGTCAACAGCAGTATTTTCCAAGTTCATTAGGTTTCAAAAGATTGAATTAACTTCAGCGTTTCAATGACAGAGAAAGCCCAAGGCAATCAGCCTAATTCAAAAGGATGCTACTGATTTTTCATGAACATTTAACTAAGCTTGGTTCTGGAACCCACGTAAGCACCTTAGCACACCAATTTTATGCTCTGACAGGAGGATCGATTTTATTTTTACCATGCTACCTCCAGGCTAAGCGAAGGGACAGCATGAGGTGCACATCCCCTTTTGGTAACCTGCTTGTACTAGCAGCAAGTGATCATAGCTCAAAGTTTTTAATAGAGCTTTTTACTTTGACAAGACAAGATGCTTTTCAGCATCACTTGACTATTTCCACCAAGCATAAACTGTCAACCCTTATTATGTCACAGCCAATACAGCAACAGCAGGGCAGAACTTACTTCCAGGAACAAGAGCATTTCCCAGGAGCACATTCAGGACAGGGAATTGGAGATGGCGGTCTCCTCTACGTGTTTTCCAGTCACTTGTTCTGAATGGATCTAGCACAACCCTCAGGCACTGTAGGGGCACAGGGTCCTCACATAGCTTAGTATTGTTTTCTGCCTCAACGCAGGCACAGCCATTCCTCCGATTCCTGCCACACCCATTGCAGGGTCTGCAGCCAAACAGCTCACCCCCCCATCCCATTTCTCCTGGAGCAGAACATCCAACAACACTAGGTCTTACACAGAGAGGGGAGTGGAAACCTGTGCCCACCTGCTTTTTGGCACTGCAGATAAAGCTCAAGCAGTTTGAGATCACCCTGCCATGCAGTGCCTCCAATGCAGCCAAGCACTCTCTCTAGAGTGCAACCATCCCCTTGCTGCCCCCTGCCACAGACCTTCTTGAACTTGCTGTCCCTCAGCTGCCTGACAGGGTCAGCCCTTAGAGGAAGTTCCCCTTTAAGCCCATACTGAAAGTAAATGGCAATTGATAGCTTAACCAACAGGTAAGCATGAAGGATCAACAAAATCAGTTACAATTTCAGATAAAAATACAGCACGTGCTTTTTGTCAATTAGGAAATGTTGCTTGCCCACCTTCCTCGACGTAAAAATGGGTGAATAAATTGGGAACTGACATTTCAGAGTTGAATTAACACCAACAAGGAAATTTGAGGGAGTGATTCAAACTGGACAAAGCAGAGAACCCAGTACTTGCTGACAGATGCACATTTCTCACAGCCTTTTTACAGGTGCTACCAGGTCAAGGGTGGCAAATCCTTGTACTATGATGAGAGAAAGAAGCCAATGAGGATGTTCATAGGACCCCCCCAGTTTCCTGCATACCATACAGCATCAAATCAGGCACCCAAAGGAATGGAAATAATTGGTACTATCATCTCTTACTCTCAATTCATTTATCCACCACTTTGCTGCTCAGCTCTGCTGTTGATATGCCACTGCTCTGATAGCTGTGGTCAGCTCCATTGCAGTGCCTCTATTTTACATCCAAATAATCCACACCACTTCTGTAATCACCCATAGTTAACTGACTTTGTAATCCTGACTATTTTGAGCCTTGTCATGGCAGTTTACCATCTCTTTCCAATATCCACACCCAGTACATTTCTGTACCTAAGTAATCCATCAGTGTCACAATAGCAACTTTCCTTTTTGGTTTTGTTATTCCTCTCCAATATGCCTAGAAACAACTGTCAATCGCTGTCAAATGATGCATCTTGTTTCTTTAATGGCTTCTTAAACTCACTTTCCTCTTTTTTGGGGATGTGCACAATGACATCATGCTGTCCATGCCCTCTCAACTTAGAGCAATTTGAAAATGTCTACAGTCTGAGATCAGAGCCTTTCTAAACTAGATTCTCCTTGTCCCAAAGATCTCCCAATCTAAATAGAAATGTGACACAAAATGGTGGAAGTTGCTTTTTTGTTGTTTTTTTTCTTACAAACTGGGAGAAAAGTGCAGAGTAATGAAGTTAGCTGCTGGATCCTTACATAATTTCCAGCATTTCTCCTATTAATTCTTCCCTTGGCTGCTGAAATTTGAGACAGTTGTAGATAGAGATGAGACAGTGTCCTGCAGTTAGAATGTCTTTCCCTCAAAGGCCTCCAGGTTGAAAGCTGTATCCAGGAACCTTCTGAGCGACACCAGATGTGTGTTCTTGTTGCCTGTGGCAGCTGCAGCAGCAGGCTCTCGGCCAACATACCTTTGTGACAAAAAGAATTGTGCAGTCAAATGAGGTAAGAAGAGAGATTATTTTGACACTAACGAGTATGGGAGCACGCTGCTAAATGCATTTATTAAGTCAACTCAGCAGATTTGAACAAATTATTATCAATCTTTCTTAAATAAAAATATAATCAAATCTAATTTGTACCGTCAGTTGTACCTTCCAGCCAGCTCCCACCTCTTTCTCCTTCACTGCGCCTTCTCCCCATCCCACCTACAACAGACAGCTACACTCTCATAATTAGATAGCTTGCTCCAGGCAATGAAATGCTCCTTCAACAGCTGCACGTGCAGATTTGAGACAATCACCTACAGTAAATGCAACGCTAACTGAATGAATGTAGTTCTTACAACTACTATTTTCTCCAAGAGCCTAAAATGTAGATGGAAATTTTTATTAAAAAAGACACATTCATAGACAAAACAAAAAAAGCCAGAAGAGTTAAGCACTGTGCAAAGAAGCAATAAACAGAGCTAGATGCTACTGATTTTGTTTCAGAACTACAGAGAGGATTGAGAAGCTTGTTACGTATTTGAGAAATAGTCGTCTAGACTCTTCCTCCTTCAACTAAGAACCCAAACTCACAGTTTTCTGATTTATGGATAGACTCTGCCTTCTGCATAAATAAAATCCTCAAGTCAAAAGCCTGCCAAACAAACTGGACCAGGAGATGGAACGACTGTTAAAAGTCTCATACCAAATAGGTCGAGTGTGGTTCACAATAGTGCGGAAACGAGGTTTGACGTAATCGTAATATCCACTGTTTTTGTGCTCCTCCTGACACCAAACTAGATCTGCATCTGGATACTTGTCAAGTTCTTCTTTGAGCAGGTCAAATGGGAATGGTGAGATCTGGGAAGAGAGATTCATAACTGGCAAAACTTTCTCTTATAAGGCTTTAGCCTCCAGTAGTAAAACTTTTCATCTCTCACGTATTATAACCAACTATTGTAATGAACTATTTAGTACCAGAGGTAACTCTGGCACAGCAAGCCCTTGCTAAAAGTATCCCCAGCATCTGTCTTTGGAAGGATCAGGGAGCTCACCTGCTCAAGTCTGGTTATAGCTACTTGCTTCTCCAAGTCTTGATTCTTTCTCTCTTTCACAAGATCATAGTACACTTTTCCTGTACAGAAAATCACTCGCTTGACCTCATGTGGTGCTTGAGCTGCCAGTCCATTCTCAGGAATCACACGTTGAAAAGTGGTACCTAATTATAGCAATAATTAGAAAAGCTCTCTCAGTGGAAATGACACAGGAATAAAGCAGCACAGGAAATGTAACTTCACCAAGCAACTGACAGATTACAATGGTCATGGGGCTCTGCTACCTCTCTGTCTTTTCAGACTGACAATTCTGCTAAAGCAAATTTCAGTTTCAAAAGTTAAAAGACCATGAATAGTAAGCTCTTCCACTCACAAGATGGAGAAATATATTGACAGAGAACTGTATTTTAGCTTTGTGTTGTGCTTTACAGCTTTAAGTTGATTGGACAGCTGACTGTCCTGGTTTCAGCTGCCACGGTGTTGATTTTCTTCATTTGCGACAATGCTGTGCTTTGGCTTTAGGAGAAAAACAATGCTGATAACACACAAATGTTTTAGTTGTTGCAAAGCAGCGCTGTAAAGAGCCAAAGACATTTCAGTTTTTCAGCTTCTCATATCATCCTGCCAGTGAGGGAGTAAGGGAGCACAAGGAGCTGAGAGGGGACAGAATCAGGTCAGCTGACCTACACAGACACAGGGATAACCCAGATCATACAACACTGTGCAGAACTATCACACTGAGTAGATGGCTGGGGGGAACCACTGCTTGGAGACTGGCTGGGCACTGGTCAGTGAGCAGGGAGCAACTGCATGGTGTGTCACTTGTTTTGTACACAAGGGCTGCTCTGAAAGTAAGACTGTTGGCCTCCAACACTGAGGGGTAAATTTGAGCGGTACAGCAATAGAGGTTGAACCTTTCCACCAATATTGCTACATTTTGCTGCTGTGGGACAGGTGGCAGCAGAGGGGCAGTCTGACAAACAGCATCTGGTATAGAAGCGTATATGAAGCAAATGTGTGGAATTGAATTCCTCCACACAGAAAAAAATTGGCACTCATTGACATTCATTGATGTTTATTGAATATTTCAGAGGCCAAAAAGTGAATATGAGACCAATGAAGGATGGGTCATGCATGTCAGCAGTGGCAACAGCAGTGCATAAGACAAGCTGTGTTCTGGACAGCCATACATAGCTGTCACACCATGAAATGAAGAGCATTTCAGTCACCTCATCTGTGCAAATCAGTAGCCTACGACCAAGGAATTGTGTACAGAGCTTGCACAATGTGGAAGTTTTTCAGGATCTATTGGAATGAACTTCCTGGAACTTAGGCAAACCATCAACTCTGCCTGCAACACTGTGACACTGACGAAGCTGAAGGCTCAAATCTAGAGTCAGACCAGAGGAAGAGAGAAGCTTGCAACTCCATAAAGCCATGACCCAGTTGCCAATCTTGTCCTTACCACACCCAGCTGTGCGTCCAGATTCACGTAGTCCAGATTTGTCACCTTCTGAGTTCCATGTGTTTGGACTGATGAAAGGCAGACTGCATGGGCAACATTTTCTGAGTAACAGTGCTGTCACAGCAGCCATGAAACTGAGTTACCTACACTGGTGCAGACATCTACAAGTGCAGCATGCAGGCTCTTGTTCATAGCTGACAAAAACACGTAGACAATGGTGGTGACTGTGTTGAAAATAATGCCTTGTAGATGGGAATTTGCTCCATCAAATAGCGTTATTGTGCTCTTGGTAACTGTTGTAGTTTCCACATAAATAAATGGGAGGCATTACTTACAGAGTAAGCTACAAACATATACATAACTATCCTAACTGGTATTTTTCCTTTTTTGTCTTAGTAAGTATTTTTTACTTCAACTTCATGGTTTTCTTTTTTCCATTTTTCTCCCCCACCCCACTGGCAGAAGGTGGTGCTTAGCACCTGCCAGCTTTAACAACACCACTCACCTCACACAGTGCAACTAAATATGGTAACTGCAGAAGTATTTAGACACATGCACATTACCAGCACATATTTATGCGATTTAAACCTCTGAGAGCTAAACCAGCATTAGCTAAAGGAAGAATTAGCATAGTATTGATCCATATGCGTAAGTGATAAAAAGCAATTTCAGATGCAAAACATGACTGCTAGGTGTCTGCTCCTCTATGGTATCCTCTCCCAGGAGAACAGTTTGCTTGGGATATATGAAACTGGAAGGTATGAAAGGCAGTAATCCTACACTGGCACAAAGGGGAACTAGAGAGTCTAGAAATTCCTTTTCTTTGGTCCTTGCTATGATTGATTAAAATTATTCCCACATTAACCAGCTGCAAGGTAGCAGACAGCAACACGACCTCCCAGACTGAATAAGCACACCCACTTACTAGGAAAATAAGCTACTATTTGAAGAACCATTTATCTTGGGAGGAGAAAAGCAGCAACGCAAACATGAAAAAAGGAACTGATTTATGTCAGAATTAGCCTGTCTCACTGAACAGCAGAATTCATCATTAACAAACACTGAATCTGTGCTTGACTGGGCCAGCTGTCTCAGCTTCCAGTCAAAAACAAAGCAAAAAGTGAGCTGAGTCAGCAATACTTCTTGCTGTCATCAAGACAGTAAGAACATGAAAGTAGTCAGAACTGGATACTAACTGTGAATTTTGGCAACTATCAAAGGTTATCCTCCTATCCCTGAAGTAGCAGGGACTCTCATTAAGCAGAGACAAATCACAATGCTCACAAGATTTCTGATTTGACTCACTCCAAAAAATATTTGAGCAGTAATTGAAACTCACAAATTTGTTTGCTTGAAAAGCAAACTTTATTCACTTACAAAAAGGAGATACTGCAACATTTCCATATGTTTATGCACTACAGCATGCTTTGAAAAACCTGAGCAGTTATTTTTTTCTGACAGCAATCAAGACACCAGCTAGAATCTGAAACAGACCACCACACCTAAGCACTCACTATGAGCAATTATTTTTCATCATTTACTATGCTTTCCTCGTGCCACTCTAATATATTCTAGCCAGCGCATGGCAAGACCTATTCCTTCATTTTTTGATGTCACATCTGTAGTAAACACCTTATCTCTTGGTGCTGCCAACAGTAGTTTCAGGTAGTAGTGCATAGCTCTGAACTCACTGTAGCAATGAACTTAGTGTAGATCTCTGGTTTGACAACTCAGCCCCAGAACTGACTGCAGCAGTAAGAAATAGAACCTCGGTTCTTGGTTCAAATGGGCACGCTGTGATTACAGCCTATTCCTTCCTTGTCTGGGGGGACAGAAATTAGGACAATCCAAACTTTCAAATTTAGGGAAAAAGAACAGAAAGATCTAATAGTCTATCTACTAAGAAGAATATCTCTATAGAGAAGGGATTGCAAAACTAATGCCTGGTTACTAGATAACATGTTAAACATCTGCATCCGAATGCATACATTTCGGCCAAAGTCTAGGCTAGAGCTTGTTATATCAGCTCCACAGAAGTTAAGCCAAAGGAAAAGGGAAGCTCCCCAGAACAGATTCTCTTCTTCATGTTTTCAATCTGACACGTAACTTTGTATAGCTGATTATTTGTTCATAATACTTTAACATCACTTACCAGAGACCATTTCATCAAAACTGGATTTAGCTTCTGGATGCCTCAGCAGTGACTTGGGTGTCAAAATGATTAACTGCAAAACAAAAAAAAACAACTTCCAGCACTAAGGAGCAGCTTTGTCTACATTATTATTTGCAATATTCTTATCAATGTTCATACAAAAGACATAAACTGAAAAGACAAACTGAAATCAAATTAATATGAATAGCAAACAATAATTTTTTGTGGTTTTTCTCCTGTTTTGAAACCCTATGGAGTTTAATAGTTATTATTAATTTAATAATTATTCCAAAGATTTGGGTAATTCACTCTCTATATGATTCTCAAAAACCACTGCTTTATGACTCTCTTTAAGAATAAAATCAAATCACAAGCTACAAACATGTGATATATACCATATCTGTAACTTAGTCTTCAAGTTTTAAAGATGCCCAAATGGCTTCAAAAGTTAATGGAATTTTCTCCAAAAATCTGTGTTTTAGCAGCCATGCCTGAAACCAGATAGCCTCTAAAAGGATTCATGGTAACTGGCCTTGAAAGGAAGAAATAATTGCAATTCTATCCAATTTTAGCTATAAGCAACATCCACAAAGGTTAAAAATCTCAGAGCGATGGAGCACTTTGGTCAGTATTTCCATGTGAGACCAGCTGAGAAGATGTATTCTGGGGAAATCCAAGCTGAGCTTTCAAGTTTCCACTTGCTGATCCATTAGCCACTACTGCAGTCACAGCAACGCAGTGACACAAACAGCAATGCCTTACACTATATGGTTATCCCAGTGTAAGCATGGACAAGTTTGCACTTGTGAATTCTCCATAATAGTAGAGAAGAACACCTCTAAAAGAGCAGAGGGAAAGGGTCTGGCACTGGAGTGGAGAGAGCATTATGACTCCAAACAAAAAGAGCCTTTTTAAAGATGGCAGTCAGTGCTTACACAAATAGACACAGGTTTTTGGAGCACAAGCAAGTAGACATGCAGGTTGTAGCCGTGCAACTTGTTAGCCACACAGTGTCTTGACAAACCCATCTGATGGACTGCACAGTCATAAAGAAGCCAAGCTGAAAATACAGTTTTAGACTTCTAGTGAGAGTTAAGTTTCATTCCAAACTGAACACCTGCATGCAGGTAAAGCTTTTCACCTTTTGTTTTCCTTTCAGCAGTACAGCATATGCAAACAAAGATCCCTTCTTTACTCAACAGTTAATACAGCTAGAGTAATGAAGTCCATTAGAGTAACTCTACCGGTTTTCTGAATGGCAGCAAGATCTGTCTTCTGAGGACATGAAAGTAGTTGGCTGGAGTTGAACAATTCACCACAATCCAGTTGCATTCATACAGCTGGGAAACTTCAAACTGTTTGCTGAACTCCTGAGAGAGATATTAAAGCCATTAGAAAAACATCTAAAAAAGATCAGGGAAAAAAAAAATCTTAAAAGTCATCTTTCTATTTCTGATTCTCACCAACTCCCTGTCTCAGCAAACTCCAACAGCAGAGCTCTGCTGAGATTATACTATTAGCTTGGGAAGCATCCCTACGAAACACTCTTCTGTTTTTACTTACTTTTATATTGTTCTAGGAAGAAAGGCAAAACATTTCCTTTAATTTCAGCAAGCTGGGAAGTCCAGGAAGGAAGGGTGAGGAGAACTAGGACTTCAGTAGGTCTAAGGCACAAAATAGAACCCCTCTGAAAGATTTAGAACAGTAATTCTATTTTTGAGAGTATAGTTAACCCTCTCCCCTTTTTCTTGGTAGGTGTCCTGTCCTCATCTCAGTACATAAATTTCATATTTTGTATTTATTTTACACATATATGTTTTATATACAAATGCATATATGGATACAGGTAAGTATTTATGCAGGTATAATAACCTCAATATAGACTGATACAGCACCTAACACAATGTCCTAGTTCACGTTACAAATTGTTATTTAGCTCCTCTGATAATATTTACAACTTCCTTATTATGTGCAATTAAATTTGTCCTTAGACGTACTGAGTCAAACAGGTCTTTCTTTATTCTGCCAGTACACTGGCAAAAAACACCTTTACATGAAAAGGAACACTGCTTTGGAATTATCCTTACTCCAAAGGCAACAAAATCAGGGCCAAAACTGAAATGCATACATTGATTTTTCAATTTATGAGCTTTTCAATTAATTTTTAACGGTGCTTCTTATAAAACCCACAGAGGGAAGTGAATGCCCAGCAGCCCGTGGAGTTACGTACTTTATCTGTAGAAATGAATGATCAAACTATGAAGTCTGAGCTGAATTAAATTTAGAAGCTGGCCCTACTTTCATGCTCCCGGCAGTACAATTTAGCTCCAGTGCAAAAAGCCACAAGTAGTTTCACATGGCCTCCTTTAGAAATTTGCTAGAGACACTTATTTGCAGTATGCACAGCAATATATACAGGCAGAATCACTGGCCCTGAGGAACAGCCATAAAGAGATCATGCTGCCAGAGATTAATTGTATATGATCTCATCTTTGAAATGAAACAGCCTAGACTGCACACTCCCATTATTTTTACTGGGATCAAGTTAATGTTACATTAACTCTTGCAGCTAAATCTTATCCCACTTCCTAGCCAAAAAAAGGATTATTCAGACAAAAAAAAAAACCTCAAATTTTTATTCTTCTGTGGCAATAAAATGATTTTTCTAATGATGAAGCCAACACAACCTGGGTCAAAATAAATCTCTGAAAAGTGAAGAGCAGCAAAAAGAACAGGGCTTTTGACAAATCTACTTACTGGATAAGCATCAGAATCGTCATTGCTCATCTGCAGAAACCTTTCAGGCCTGGCTGATGAATGCTCTGGACCCTGGTAATCACATCATTCAAAACAATGTTAAAAAGCCAAATCAGCAGTCAGACATCAGTTTAGGCCACTCACTGTTTTTCCATTCACCCTTGCAGCTCTGCACCACGCTGCACATATGCCCCCAAATCATTGGTAGCAGCAGCGAGGAGATGAAAGACACACTGAATTACTGCAAGTCTTTGTTTCCCATAGAACACTTTCATACGAGAAGGCTAGGTTTCAATGGATTTCCAATGCTTTTAACTATGAAATTACAGTAGGTCCACTTGGACATAAAAAAAGAAACTTTGCTAACGCTGGGCAAAAATGAGCAGGAGGAAAATAAGGAGCAGAAACACTGTGCTTCAGCATAGCTGCAGTGTTTCTCATTTTTTGGGAGGCAAATCACACCTGTATGCAAAGTTAACTGCTGACAGTCTTTGCTATGTTAGCAACCAATGTAGGCTCAGGATCTCTCTCTCAGCATTGTTAAGTGATCAGTACAGGACAAGATAGCCTTAACAAATGCTTCAGCTAAAACAGATCAAAATGCATGTAAGCACTGTCTGCCAAATTAGTCTGTGATTAATTACTGCCTCAAGAGGTATTTATTCTGTCAAAGTACTGTATGCTCACATCTGCTTTCCCACTAGAAGTATCAAAGGTAATTTTTTTTTTAAACATACAAATATTGCTAGATCCATTTTTTACTAGCAAAAAGTGCACAGTGATCATGAACAATATCAGGAAAAAGAGGTGTAACAGAATGTTATCTCCCCTCTCACGTCCTCATTTGTAATGGATGAGAGAAAGCTGTGAGGAGGAGAATGCAGTGTGCTTTTTTATTTACCCCTAATGCTGGCAGTCTTTGCTTGTTCAGTTACCAAACAGTAACTGTTAGGACAGACCTTCATTTTGGAGAGTGTCCATGTATTTTAACCTGAAAACAATCTATTACACCTCTCAATTCTCTCCATGGCTTCTAAGCTAATCATGTTTTTTTCTTTGCGTATCTTTGTCTGTTATCATAACTTCCTGAGTCAAAATATGAATGAATGCTCTTCAAAATCACTACTATGACAGCCAGTAGTTTACTTTGATTCAACACATGATTCTCTCTGCTTTCAAGCACAGGGTTCACTCCGTGCACTAACAGAATTCAAAGGAAAGAAACAGCTTCTTCCCTGGAAACGTATGAACAACACCAACAGCCATGAACTGTACCCCACACAAGTACTGGTGAAGTCTGTCTCCACTTTAGAGATGCTCAATAATGCATGTTAGGGCTTGTGAAATAAGAAGCAGAAATAATGATACAGAGTAACAGTGTAATATTGCTGTACCACTGCTTTACTTGTCTATTTGCTGTAAAACTATAAAATCCTATACTGAGTACAGTCTTAACATGTACAAAAACACTGCTTCACAACTAAACTGAATGGAGAATGCTGGAAGCTGAGATGTTACTAAAAAACAATCGGAGTGACACGGGAGGCTTCCCTAACATACCCACACACACGTTACCCCAGCAACAACCTCAATGCAGAGCCTCAGTCTTCACATCCATCTTTGATTTCTCTGCTGACACTGCCAGTCAGATTATCAGTGACAGCTACGTGGGATGGAGTAGGGTTTATTTCTATTGTGACCACCTCTCTGGTGAGACCTATACTGAATCCATTAGCTACTTTCAGATGAGCCCCAAAGGAGCCATTTGACAGCGGAGTCTTTCAATCACAGCCAACTTGCCTCTGCATGCATGACCTAGAGGTGAAGGGATCCATATCCCATTACAAACCCTTCCCCAAATCATTCTGCCCCAACACTGTAGTTAGAGAATAACACTCCTGTAATGGAAAGCTCCTCTGAGAAGGCAACAGATTTCAACAGCCTGGTGGCATTTTTAAATATTCTAAGAACACCTGACACCAGCAGCAAAATAAGCACGTTTCAGAAGTGCTGGGAAAGCCTTAGCTGCCAAGTGGCTGAGAACAGAAAGACTGATTACTGTAAGTAGCAGAGAACCAACTCCTCTCAGCTGAGTGCTTCTCTGCACAGGACTGTACTTCCTGCTGAGGGCACATTCAGGCTGTCCCTCCTGATTCATTTAAAAAAAGAAAAAAAGAAATGTATTTATCAAATCTCTTGTGAAATGCTCTAGGTCTTTCATTTCATACACACAAACAGGAATGAAAAGCCATACACAGGATATGAATGCAAATCAGCATTTCAGGACAGGATTATAATTGAATGAAAATAAAACTAAATTGTTTGTGAGAATGAAAATTGAGCAGTTTGTAGTGAAAGGATCTGAAGCATGTTTACTGACAGAGACTGCTGCTGCAGCATATGATGCTTTTCTTAGCAGGAAACTAGAAATATACAGGCATCAATTCACAAATGTCTATATATCTGAAAAGGAGCAAGTTATCCTAGTCTCTCATGTATGTATTATACTTAAAAATAATTTTAAACATTTGAAAAACAAGTCTACCACTGATAAGAATTTCATGTACATTATACACAGAGCCTGTGCTCTTTCCCTCTAATACACAGCAAATTTCCTACTGCTAGCCACCAGAGAACAAAGTCAACTGCTCTCAGAAACATTTTCCTTTCCAGAAAATGGATAATTTCTTATCAAAGTTACTTAACGTCAGTGATTTTTGAAGAAGCTTTAGAATTTTGCATCATTTCATTACAAGTGAATTTAGCACAGCTTACAGAGACATGCTGCATGCAAAATAAAACTAAGTATTGTTAGACAATTTTTTTTTACTGTACATGGAGAACCCAGCTTTTTAAGGAGAAGTATTTTCTTACAGTAAGAGAAAGAATGCACAGCAAAGTCATAGAATTGTTCTTTGTATTCACTTGCTTTCATCCATTAACACATTAAATGTGCTGTATAAAATGGAAAAAGTGGTACACACCACAACACAGAAAACCATGCTAAGTACTTGAATATTTTTCCATTTTCTCTAGTTCTCACTGATCCATCTATCAAATTAATCTTTGTAGCAATGAAGCAGTCCAACATATAAGTACCATGTTCTCCTGCTCCACCTTGATATCACCACAGGATCCCCACAATGCTGGTGGATTTTACAGATGGACTTAATTTTCCTCACAGTAGCCCATACAGCACTGTGCTCTGTACCTGTGGTTAAAACAGCACTGATAACATGATAGAAGTATTTTGGCTGCTACTGCTGGCTAGTGCTGGCACTGCACCAAAACTCTCTCCAAACCCCTTAAAGCCAGGAGGTTGGGGGTGGACAAGAAGAGAGGAGGTGAAATGACCAGGGCAGCTGATCCAAACAAAAAAAAAAAAAAAAAAGGAACATTCCATATCATATGACATCACACTCAGCCAAAAAACACTGGGGGCTCTCGTTATAAAAACAGCTGTCCTCTCAAACAATCACTGAGGCCCTGGTTCCAAAGATGTGACCAAACATCGCATGCTAATGCGAGGTAGAGAATACGTGCTTTCTTTCTACGTGGCTCTGCTTACTTTTCTTCTTCCTTCAATTAAATTATCCTTATATTAAACCATTAGCTTTTTTTTTTTTTTTTTTTTTTTTTTAAATCATTATTTCTTCCCCTCCTGCTCTTGCTTTGAGGAGGGAAATTGAGGGTGTGGTGAAGTTTAGTTGGCCATCAGCATGAAACCATCAGTCAGAGGCCCTTACCATTCCTTCCATGCCATGTGGCAAGAGCAGAACAATCCCATTGTGACGAACCCACTTAGCCTGCCCTGAGCTGATGAACTGGTCTATTATACACTGCGCCGTGTTGTGGAAGTCACCAAACTGGGCCTCCCAGCACACCAGGGCATTCGGACTTGCCATAGCGAAGCCAAGTTCAAAACCTAAGAACCAGATAAGCAGGAGAGTTAGAAAATGAACACCTGAAAAGACTTAAAATAGAAGAGTTAGAAAGGAAAGACTTGATGAAAATTTTGTTCATTTCTCTTATAAAATTAAATTAAAAGAAAACCAAAATGACAGCATCAACTGGATTTTTTTAGTGCTGATATAAATCATGCAGTTTTCAACACTGCCATCAGAAAGATCAGCAAATAACTCTTTTGCAGTACTGACTCTAGTTCTTCAAGATTTCCTGAAACATGCACATATAACAGGATTTTTAAACAATTAGAACTCTCCCTCAGTTCAGAATTTTGTGCAAAGCTTTCCCAAGAACTCACTGAGGTAGATACCATTTTCTCCTGTGGAAATCTACTTACAGTCTAAGATTAGTTCAATAACCTATATATATATATATATATATATTTTTTATAACTACTTGCATATCCCAGCATAATTTAATTGAGTACTAATGAACATGTGATTACAGAAAGTTTAAACAAGGTTGTCCAATTCCACAGGGAAAACTCCCAGCAAAACTAACTAGCTCTTCAGTCACAGTCAGTGTGCAAACTTTCCTGCAAGGTTAGCGGATGGACAACGACAGGATAAACTAACTGCACAAGTGAAATAGCAACAAGAGCTCCAAATGAGACTGTTTATTCATGGAAACAAAAATTTTAACACACTGGATTTACAGAATCTTCATAGCATACTCCTTGGTGATTCCAACCCAGCATTTTGTTTACCATCGCCATGGCATGAAAGCTTTGAGTCACTTAGCTTCCGGAGTGAACTCTTAACAGTCCATCCATGACTCCAGCAGATGTTCACGTTCTCACCAAAACGAAATGGGTACATTACAAAGCCAAAAGAAGACTGAGAAGTTAGCCACACTGTCTTTGAGTTCTACATTCCTACGACGGTGCATGGCCTTTGCTGACCATTCTTTTGGCCTAACCACTTAAACAGCCTTGCTTATACAAAATATTTTATCTCTCTGTTCTCCTTATTTGTGTGAATCTATTGTATTTAGCACAATGCAAACAGTAAAAAAAAAAAAAATCTACACAACTCCTTCAATGCACGTTCCCAAAGGTATCTGAAAAACAGATTTCCCTAGGTAGGATAGAATCCCATTCTAATTTTACGCAAGCATTAAGAGACCATTTCTACTGATTAGGAGACATGGTTGAAAAAATATGCAATATGTTCAAGGCTTATTTGTGCATATGCTGCTCTCTGTAAGAATGGGGTAATCTAGCTTTCAGAGAAGAAAAATGTGAGGTCCTGACTTCAAATTATCAATAACCACACAGTGCTTTTAGAAGAGCATGGAGTTGTATGTGAACTCAAAACTTGGTCAAAGTACACCAAAAATTCTGTTTCATATAGTGAAATCACCTGTAAATTTTCATATGGAAAAAGAAGTGCCATTTCTCACTACCTATCTGGTTGCTCACTTTGTGCTAATAACCTCTAGCAGGTAATGCTGTCCCAGGTGAAGCTGTATTAAAAGCTGTGATTCTAACATGGATACCTTTGGCAAGCTTTCTGACAGCCATAAAAATAGTTGGGAAAGGACATCCAAATGTAATGTATACTTTCTGATTAATATTCTGAAATCAATGCTACAAGGACTACTATTTAATGAAACATGCATCACTGGTGCACGTTTGGTATCTCGGAACTCATTTTCCACCATGCAAATTACAATGAGAGTTCTTAACATCAAAGACTTTCGACTAGCAATTACAGCAATCACTATGAAGTTTGACGAGAATTACCAACTTCTAGCTGTATATGCTGAAAACTATTTAAAGAGCAAGATCTGAAGTGCTAAATATATAGATACAAAAAACCATAGGTGCAAAGATGTGTAGAGCAGCAATATGGCCAGGAGAAGGCCAAGTGCTTTCCCTGAGGAGGATTTTTTGGGAGTACCAGATGGATCCAGGTTAGCAGCTAGAAGGACTTCACAGTTCTAAATATGAGATGGAACTGTGGGGGAGCTGGCTCTTAACCAGGCCCCTTAAGAGGGCTTAACTTCAGACCAGACTAAAGAGTTAAAGAATACTGCAGCAATGACATGTACTGTCGTGTCTGCAGAGCCCAGAACTGAACGTTTCTTCACAGTCTTATATAAACTTCGTGATTGTAAAGGATTAATTCTTACACAATGAGATACCCAAAGAACAGGTTTACACTAAGAGCAATCCTACTGCCAAGACAATTAGGCTCAGGATTGCAAAGGAGAAAAGCTGAAGAATCTGCACCACCCAAAATGTGGTGGAAAGCCTCCAGCCAGCTCCTTAGCTCCCAGCAGCCTCTCAAGGCTCAGAGCGTATCAGGGCACAGGGGACCAGGAACCAACACAGCAGTCTGATAACCTTCTGTACAGAGAGGAAGACACAAAAGAAAAATACACAGCACTTGACTAAGGCTGCAAAACTAATGTTTTAATTGTTGAAGTTCATTAAGGTCCCTAGATGACAGGCATAGCAGAAATGCTTGTTTCTATTAGGCCAGACCCTGCTGTGCTCCTTTACTGTTTTTGTCACTCTGGCAGAGGTGGTTTCAAGCAAAGTGGCAGCTTACACAGCATAATACTCTGTGTTTTTCCTCCTAACATAGTGCATCTTTGTCATAAGAACTGTAGGGTTTCCAGCTGTCATAAGTAAGGCCGCAGCTTAACTCAGTATGATTGCAAAAGGATTCAAGGCATGAATGTTAACTAATGGGTAAAGATGGCTTGTCAATGCAGAGATAAAACTGCAGAATGAGAGAAGTTATGAAGACAAGTATATACTATGCTTACTGCAAAATCCAAGCACAGGGACTAATGTAGGTATACTCCTATCTCAAAACATGAGTACAGTCCAGTAATAATTTAAGTTTATGCATATCTGGTGGCTGACTCTATAGAACAGAAAGACTTCTGCCTTGGAGCTCCATGTAGGTGCTGTTGAGAACCTGTTCCTTGGTTACTATGTACTGTGTACTGTCCTGTTTTCCAACACCATTTCTGAGAGCCAACAATATTTGTTAGTCCTAACCAAAGAAAGTGCTGTTATGAATGAGCAGTAACATTGCACATTCCATCTTAGCAGTGTATTGCAAAAAAAAAAAAAAAAAAAAAAAAAAGTCTTCAACAACACCTGTCCTTTTCCCTTGTCTTGTATTTTAAACATTAACTCCCCCTGGAAAAAGCCGTACACCAGTGCTGAGCTATGCACTAGTTCCAAGCCTATCATGCTTGGACATTCTCTGGAAGTTCCCAGAATAGGACATAACAGCCCAAGATCTCTCAAAGCCAGTGATGAACTTGCCAGAGAGAACTGCTCCTCCAGGATGGAGAATCAACAACACACAAGTCATTTTGAGGGTGGTAAAGAAAGAGAGGAGATCCTGACACATATTTAAAAAAATGCTGAAGAGACACTACATAGAGCACCTGTTAGTTCACCTTTTCTATCTTGATTAGCAAACAAACTCAGACAGACTCATTAGTTTAGAAGACTTCACACAACCACTGCTTATTCTCCCAGATATTCTGTTTCAATGAAAGGAAAAACGTACAGCTAGACGAGAGGGGACACAGCTAAATTGTAGTAATCTGGAGGTAGCTAAAAACAGTAGACAAGGGATGTCTAACTGAGTTCTCAGAGGTTGTTAAATACTCCGATTTAATGCCCCGATATAAACACTTGATTGCCTCCTGTATACAAAACACAAGCAATTGTTTGAGCTATAACAAGACTGCCTTTGTATTCTAAGAGGAAACAATCTTGTTAGAGTACTACTTTTAATAGAGTGGTTACACTCCAGGAGTTCCTAACCAGCACAACAATAACTTGGTGCAAAGCCCACAGCTCTGAGTGGATGCCAGCTCTTGGCTTGCCCACCTTCCAAGGAAATAATCTGCAGTTTTATCATGCTGAGCTGTTCAATCCATTAGGTCAATTTTCACTTAGCTTTAATTCACAGAAACAAAGGGAATTCCCAAAATGCCTTTGAGCTACTGCCTGTTTACAGTCATAAATTAAAATCTTAGCACTTTTTTTTTTTTTTTTTTTTTCGCATTCTTCTCCAAATATTTTAGAACACCTAACTACAAACTATTTGTGTAACTCCCTTACACAGCAGAAGTAGCAGGCTGTAGCAGAGAGAAATAAAATTGTTGGCTTTTTCCTCGCTGTTTTACTGCTCATGAAGAATCAACTCCTCAAACTGCAAACATTCACTCACTCTTTCACTCAAACCATGATGATACCAGCTAGACAGATAACACTCTAATGTCCCTTCCAGTTAAGTATTCAGTTAGAGGGGCCATGTTCACACACCGACTGTGTATCTCACACTGTCTGTACAGATATAACACACAAATATAAACATATCTGAGAAGGCTGATATGCAAAAGTTAGCAAGGGAGCACAAACTAAATTATAAACATTTCAACATAGAGCAGTTTTAGTAAAATAATCATCACTTATCAACTGTTTCTGATGATTTAATGCCCTTTACTGATAGAGATCTCATACAAGAGCGATTTAAAACACTTAGCAATTAAAAATATCAGTATTGTTAGCTTTTAGGAACCATTTATCACATCTCCTGAAGCAGAATTGAACAGAATTGAACAGGAGTATACTCCTGTTTTCAGTGTAGAAACAAACCTAAATTCTGTTTTGAATTTCTTGCAATAAGCATTAACCTTCATATCATATCAACACTAGGCATCCTAGATCGATCAACTGAGACGTAACTTCTGGAACAAAATCACAATTCAATTGTATTCACACATCTGTCACTTTCAAATTCAGATACATTATTTCAAACCATGACCCACTTACAATAATACTTGCAGTAGTACTGTAAACACACTCAAATTAAGAAACCCTTGGCCAAAAAATGTGAGAAACAGTAAGAAATTGGGAACAACATAAAAAATTTATGAAGTTAAATTTTTGCTTTCTATGCCACATTCTTCTTATTTTTGTACATATTCTTTCTTGCATTCTCCCATTTAGTTTGCATGTAAATATTACATACTAGTTCAAAGAGATGCAAGCTTCTCCTCACACCAATTCTGCCTGAGAGCCAAGAAAAATACCTTAAAATCTCACCTTGTCAGCCCATGCTCCAACCCTACAGTTTTAAACCATTTTAATATTATTAGCAAGAGGTAATATGGAGCATACACAAAAATGATTATGTGGTGAAGTATTTCTGGAACCCTGAAGGAAGCAGTTATGTATTACCATCTTCATAACAATGGTTCATCTTTTTCATTCATACTACTTATGAAATGGGTATGAAATTGTATTTCATTATTTATCCATAGAATCAATAACATTTTTTTAATAAATTATTAGATCCACTTCTTCTGTGCTCCACATTCCTCTTGCCATCCTTCTCATGTCACAAGGAGGTTATCTATTCACAAATTAAAATGTCTGTCCAATACCAACAACATACTCCACTATGATTAATGCCATCTGTAACAAGGATTTGTTTTTTTTCAATATAGCACATTCAACACAGCAGTTCAGATAAGCCTAGGCTAGATTTTTGCATTTGTGCTACAAAGTGTTCTTAATTTTGCTGATAGTTCCTCCCCTTTTGTTAAAGTATTAGGTATGTGTTCCAGTGCTGCCAATCACAACAGATGGATACTTTCAAACTGAAATCTACAGCTATGGAAAGTGAAGATTCCTTTTTAAGAGATGCCAGAACTTGAGAGGGAGAGCTTTGAAATATTTAGTATACAACTCTTTCACAGCCTTTCCCTACACTCTCTTCCTTGCTGAGCTCTAAATGTCCTGCTCAGTGAAATTCATCCTCTGTCATTATATGTGATTTCCTGTTAAACAGTGTATAATCAATGGATATCAAGATGTTACAATCACAATATAGTCAAGAGAGTTAGGCAAAGTGGACAACGATAACAAAAGAGAATAAATGGAAAGCTTACCCTTATGCTGGGCTCACCTACAAAACACCAGAAGAGGCGATCTCCAGAAGAGATCCTTCCCCACTGGTAGCCAGCTCTTAAATAGGTCTAGGAGGGGTTCTGGCAGCACAGCTGAATTGCCTTCACCTGTGCTCCTCTGGCTGACTCATGGCTCACCTCAGGTGATCAATCAGAGGTTCAGGCTGTGACTCAGTAGTTCCCATACAAACAGTAGTAAGATCAATGCTACCGTACTGTCTAATGTTTCCAGCAAAAATTATTTCAACCTCCCAGTTTACATTTTTAAAGTATACACAGGTTCTAAGCAATCTAAGCAAATAGGTGTACCACTGGGAAACAGTAGGAAGTTTTGCACTAAAAGCACATTGAAAACTATATATTCATATGCCTCATACTAGAGATAATATATTAAAAAGCTAGAAAAAAGAATTTGGAGATATCCCATCTCTTCTCTAATTTGTTATAATTAGAAACGAGAGACCAAACACGTCAAACTATAGAAAAAAAATAAAGCTCAAAGCTTATAGAATCATGGAATCATAGAATGACCTGGGTTGAAAAGGACCACAATACTCATCTGATTTCAACCCCCTGCTATGTGCAGGTCACCAGCCACCAGACCAGGCTGCCCAGAGCCACATCCAGCCTGGCCTTGAATGTCTCCAGGGATGTGACTTCCACAAACAATACTACATTAATTTTTAAAATCCCCTTCAAATAATGAACAGGGTCGGTGTACTATAGAACAACCCCTTCAAGGAGAAGTGCTGGAACAGCAATCAGCATTTGGACTGGATTTTACATCCCTGTTTCATACTTCCCAACTGAGTCAAAACTGGTATGGATGCAGTAACATTGAAATACAACAAAAGCAGAGTTTGTTTTTAAATGTCATTAGCAGAGGGAGCCATTTATGCGTTTTGAAGGTTGGTAAACTCAAGCAGCAACACAAAATTTGGTAAGCCAAGAAGCTTAACTGCTTTACAGCAAAATCTGAAAAAAAAAAAACATCCTCTAAATTAGCAGTCATCAATTCCAACATCCTGAGACCTATTTAAACATAAGCAAGTCTCAGACAGTTACCCCGAGACGTACCTAAGACACCATATTCGGAAAGGGAGCTGTTGCACACAGTATAGGGGGCCTGCTGCTCCCAGAGGTGGTTCATGGGAACACACGTTCTTTTGTCAACTTCTTGATCATGAAGCACATGATGGCGATGGCTGCAAAGAGTCGTTGAAATCTGTTAGCTAAGAACACTCTGGGTTTTAACAATGCTACTTTCAAAGATAAGCTTTCAAAGCTACATTCTAGAAAGCATGCATGTAACAGTTATCTTTGGTTTAGATAACACTCTAGTTTGGTTGAAATCTAGCAATATGATTGTTTAAATACAATTACTGCACCATACGGACTTGCACTGATTATTCAAGACTGTTCTTCAGCATTCAAGGAAATTCAAAACACATAATTGCAAGGGAACAGGGAAGACAGTGAGGTGGAGGCAGGGGGTCGTTACACAATGTTTTAGACTGACAAATCAAAAATCAAAGGGAAAAAATATTACTAGAACATTTACTCTTCTTTGTGGAAAATGTCATTAATCTTTTCCTTAGGACAATTCTTTACCTTTCTTGCAAAAAAATTATCTAATCTAATCTGAGCACCAACACTTGAAACAGTTTCATCTTCTTTCCTGCTATTTCCATTCACACCACTTACAGTTCCCTGGAACACCATTAATCAGCATTAGAATGGGGCACCAAGGAGTGCTATCAAAACAAAGATGACTAAAGTAATTACTGCAATCCATTAACTCTCTGAGCAGACTAACTGAGTGAATCACACCAATATGTCCAGCTTTATGACTGCTAGCAGAAGGACAGTTATTATACTAGTAACAATTACTGTGCGTTGTATAGCTGCCAATACTGAACTGAAGACCAAGTCCTTTTGTGCTTCCCTTTGCTACAATGAATACTAGCTCTGAAATTTGTTTAGAAGTCACAAAATAAAACCAGGAAAAGACAGAGACTCTGAAGATTAACACAGAGAGAGAGGTAGAACGGAGAAAATACATCAGAACTTCTGCTACAGAAGAAATAATTGTGAAACTATCAGTTTTGTCATTCAGATGAGGACAAAAAGTGTAAAGACATAAGCTTCTTGAACGTGAAGCTGTATTTCTTCAGCAAAAGCTGATTACAGTAAGCATAGGTGGATAGCCAGGTTGCTCTGAAAGTAATGATTCCTTATTTATTTCCATGGATATGAGAGACACTAAGAGCTCAATAACACTGCTTGAGAGAGCAAATCCTCAAGTACAAAACACTGTTTTTCAACACAGTTACCATTAGATGTGTGGTTTTGATAGTGGTGAACAAGAGCTCTTCATTTCATGGTGTGACAGCTGTGCATGGCCAACCATAACACAACTTGTCTTTCATATCGCCATCACAACTGCTGAAATGCACCACCTCCTGCCCCACTGTGCTCACATCCACCGTTTGGTCTCTAAAACATTCAGCAAGCATCAACAAGCGTCAGTTGGTGCCATTTTTTCCACATGGAGGAATTCAATTCCATATGTTTGCTTTATAGACACTTCATGTCAGATGCCTTTTTGTCACACTGTCCCTCTGCTGCCATCTGTTGCACAGCAATAAAATGTGATGGAATGCTGGTGGAAAGGTTCAACCCCTACTGCCCTATCACCATTTGCCTCTCACACTGTGGGTCAATACAATAAAATAGGAGGCACTGCTTTCAGAGCAGCCCTTGCATGTAGACATGCAAGTCACCTTTTCCTGTTGTAACACAGTTGTCAGTTAGCTGTCAGACTGGTACAAAATTAAGTCTCTTTACAGGAATACCTCTTTAATTCTTTTTTAAAGGCTGAAAAATAACATCTAGGTAGGACACTAATTTTCAGGTAGTCTTTGCCAGTCAAAATAGCTTTTATTTGTGACATTTGTTCTGTGTTATCTCAGTATTTCTGTGAGCGCAACAACTATTGTCATCTTAAACACTGAGAAAATCTGGACATTAGGTCTGGCAAATCCTCTTCCACCAGTTAGAGAACTGAGAATACAGAAAATCAGTCTTCTTAAGACAAGTCTATAGCTGTGTGTCAGACTTAACACTAAGCACTCACCAGAATTAGGTAGGTAGTTTGCTGAACAATAAATATGCATTCCTGCCATTTACAAGACGCTGGTACTGAAATCAGGGATGATGAGAGAGGGGAATCTCCAGGTTTTCAGCTTTTTTTTTTTTTTTGTCTTGTCTGAAGGATTTTGTTAAGCTGCCATTAGAATGGGAGTGGGGAAAAAAAAGCCCAGTGACCAAATACCAAAGGAAGCTCAGCACAGAAACACAACACTGCACCACACGATGGAAGTAAGGCACCAAGATTTCCTCCTTTCCTGCAAGCATTCACAACTAAACTTAGTGAAGCCGTTAGTTAACTCAGCCCCAGCAACAGGCTTTGCATCAAAGAGTTCAATTAAATACATCATTAAGATTTTTCTCTGTGGAGAGACAGGTAAGGCAGCAGAACTGTATATATTTTATGAAGTGATGAAATTTACCATTCATTCACGCTCCACGGTCTTTAAGAGTCTCAGTACAAAGGATCTTGTTTCATTTAGAAGAGCCTTGCCAACTGGCAAGATATTTGTTCACAGGACAGTAGAGTTTCAAGAAGCTACCAATAGAGCAGTATTTAAAGGCTTCAGAATTTGTAGCAGCAAATGCCTTTCTCTTACTTATCAGCAATAGGTGGATTGTAGCAGAATTCTTACTTGAAAAGTAAGAAATAATTTCTGCTTTTCCGTCACATAAGGAAGAGAATATCTAAAAACGTTTATTCATTTCTTCTACCTTAAATATTACTCTTTAAAACACTCCATTTACATAAATGGGAGATCATCTGCTAGAATCTATGACATTAAGACTGATGTTGAATAGCCTCAGCCTCCCTCTTCCCTCAGAAGACTATATTGTTTAAAAATTGCTAATGTGTTTCTTGAAGTATCGGACAGCTTTTAACAGTTATCTCAGTACTCACCTAAAAGTGCCTCTCTCTACATCTTGTCCACTCAGTCGGACATGAATCCCTTCTTTCAGAAAGGAGCCAAAAGCCATGTACTCTGCCAAGGCCCAGTCAACAACCCTGTTCTTGGTCATTTCCAAGCGGGCTCTCAAAATCCGGGAGAGTCCTATTGGAATAAAGATCAGAAATCAGTGGATCTACTTCAGAGATATTTGACATTCACATTACAATCACCATTTTCCTCACTGGCTACAGTATACAGGAACACGAGAACTCATCAGGAGAACTCAAAGATTGCTGTTTTTAGTCTTAGTTGCTGATCCACTGTCTTCATGAAATGCAGAAGAACTGCATCAAGTTAAAACAACATTCACTTTGTAGACCATATTAGTTCTCCTAGGTTTGAATTGCTAGCAAAGTAAAATAACTTGTTTCCTAAACAAAGGTTTGTACACCGTCTGTACCTTGCTCTATCAGAAGAAAATGACAACTCTGCTACCAGAAACTATGAGAACAATTAGAGTGACTCAGGGTCAGGTACTTCTTTCCAAACATTTACTTTCACTTATCAACACCAAGTACTGTTTTGTAAAAGACTGAAGATGTCATCTGTTAAGTTCTTCTGTCTTTCTCACTCTTATTTTTTCTTGGCATTTGTCTTATAGGATTCTAGAAGTACTGTAAAGAAACAAGCAAAATTAATCAATATGATGAATATCTTATAAATAAAAAATCGTAGTAGCTGCCAAAGGATTTTCAGTTGGTAAGCAAAGGTTGATGTTAGGATAGCTTTTTTGTTTCTTTTGCTGTGTTTTTGTGTTTTTTTTTTTTGTTTGTTTGTTTTTTTCTTAATTTGCTGTTGTTGTTTGGCTTTGGTTTATTTACCAAAGATTACCAAAGATCGATTCACACTGGTGAGTCAAAATACAAGTTGTAACACCACAATTTTTATTGGAAATAAAATACCCTTTGAAGTTTCATACAGGTGCTCCCAACTGAAGCTATATAAGCCTAGAGAATTCAGTGTCACTTAACACTACCTTATTTGCATATCTGTACTGATGCTCTTGGCAAGCTATTCTATTTGCTGTATTTCTATTCTTCCCTTTGTTACTTTCCCAACCTTTACAAAAATTACTCTATTTCCTCTCCATTTAAAACTACACTCTTAGAATTTGTCTGTATTTAAATAAGAAAATCTTGAAGATCTTTCAGAGAATATACAAAACACTTGACAAAACAAAATCAGCTTCCACTTTTTCCAGGAAGACCAGGAGATATTAAACTGTAGCTTTCTTAATGGAAGGTCAAAGCACTCTGAAGTTGTTCTTCCCATTTTATTTTTTTTCCCCTCTTGTGGCCTTTTAAACTGTGTAAAAGAATCTAGAAGACAAAAGTTAGAGAATTATCTGCCCACGTGGAATAGTTATAATGGCAAATAATACTTGCTGTCAAGGTCAAGTTAATAAAGAGAAGCTGCCTTTTTAGTTAAAATGTCTAATACTGAATTTTATTAGCTGACTATATTTTAGAGTTTATAGTTTAAAATTATAGCATCACCAACAAAGTGTGCAAATCTGTAGAAGAGTTTTAAAGTTCATCTTCAGTTGTATCTGCTCAATAAGCTTACAGTTGATAACTAGTAATGCCCTGTTTCATTACTCCAGAGGAATATGAAAACATGGAACAGCTTCAGCAGACACTTTATTCCTCAATGGGTGATTCTGGAGATGAAAGAGTATCTGGAGATTTTGCTCAGAAAACAAAACAAAAAAAAAATAGCTCTTTCTTTTAATCCTAAGTACATTCCCTAGCCAATAAAAGAAAAAGGTCCCTAAACAAAGCAGTTCCGTGTTCACCAGGGAATGAATGTGTCTTTGCTCCCTGCAGAGCTGTTAAGAGTTCAACCTGACCAGGAAGTACAAGAATTCACTCAGAAGCTTGACAGAGTGCCAGGAGCTCCCCAGTGTGACAGGCACATTTAGCTTTTTACTACAATAGATGCTAAATTCAGAACTGAATCCCTTCAGACCAACAGTTAAGACTTTTTGAGAAGAAGGTAGATTTATGCTATCAACACTAAATGCTGTTGAAAGGAAAACTGTGTCTGAATTTGCCCACATGGAGTTCATTCAGCTGTACTACAATTACTCTCATAGCATATCAGCAGTGCTGCCAGGCCTGAAAAGATCAAGCTATTTTTCTGAGCAGAAAACTGTCTAACTGTAAGAAAAGTGTCTTAAGTGAACTCCAAATTAACACTGCTTTTAGTATTTGTAAAAACATGAATAGCGCTGAGATGGATTCCTTACTTCCCCCAAGTGCTTCACAAAAGGACTTGACAAATCAAAGGATTACTAACTTAACATTACAAAGAGTTTAACCTCCCTCAGAGAAAAATCTATTTTAAGGAGGTAGGGAACAGAAGCAGTGTGAAGCCGAAAAAACAAGAACAGGCAGTGTGAACCTGTGTATAAAAACTGTATGGATGTGGTGCTCAGAGCCATGATTTAGCTGTGGGTTGCTTGGGTAGCATGGTTAGGTTATATGGTTGGACTCAATGATTTTTAAGGTATTTTCCAACCTGAGCAATTCCATGATTCTTTGATTCTAACCTTAACTGACACATTCTCCTTTCCCCTTAGGATAAAAGAGGTGAAATAAAAATCACAGGCATTTTCCTCCTTGGAGAACACCCAATAGCAATTCATTTGCAGAAAAACAAAATCTGAGCAAGAAATACAGCCACTAACAGAAACAAAGATTCCAGCTGACCTGCATGTATTTTGAAGTCTTTGACTGGCACTGAACTAGCTACATTCCCAATGTGAGTCAGCAGGTCTTCTGAAATGCCAGTTGGAGGACAGGACATGCTCTTGGGTTCTCCATCCACATTAAAGAATCCTGGAAGTAAAGATCTAGTGAGGCGATCACGTTGATTCTAAGAAACATACTAACCCCGTTCTTCACCTTTCAAAGGGAGACAACCATATTCCCATTTTCTGCATGACAACATTACTTAATTTTGAAGACACAAGATCTGCTTTATTTCTACTTTCGCTTCTTGTGAAAAAGGCCCAACTGTGTGGGCATAGGTAGACAATAAAACGCCTACGGCACTTAAATCCTTCCAAAAAAAAAAAAAAAAAAAAAAAAAAAGAGAGGATGAGACATATTTCTTCTTTTCCCATATTTTCTTCTTCTCCTTTTCTAGTGAACTGAAAAGAGAGCTTTTTTAAGTGTCAATCTTAGTTTCCACATTTCTTTTTAAAAAACCATCCTCTTTCAATTTGATCTGGCAGAACGTTTCATTTACTGTTAACACGGGCAAACCAAAGATCTATTTTAAAGAAATACTGGCTGATAAAACATTGAAGAATTCCAGACTTAGGATTCAAAACAGAAGCACAATTGTATTAATATCAGGTTATATGAAAGGACAGTCCTTACCAGGCCAAGGTGAATCAAGCCAGTGTTTAATGTGTAGAATCTTATTATCCTTAGATCTGGTATATGCTTCTTCACATATTCTATCATACTTCGCAATTTCTTCCTGTAAAAGAACAAGAATGTTCTTTTTAAAACATCCTTGCAACTCCCATTCAGTATTTAACTCCAGAACAAAATTTAGTTAAAATTATGGAAACGTTTTCATTTTATCTCGGATTTTATCTAGGATAAAATAGGGTAAAAAGTCTTCTAGAAAAATGCTTATTATCCACATAACTCTGAATAAGTTATTTAGTTTACTGGAAAGATGTTAGAGAGGATAGGACTGAGAGACAAAGTGACAAGCAGTACTCTTAAAAGACATAACTGAATATAATTTGCAGTCACATTTCTACATCAGCATTATTCAGCTTTTACTTCAGGCTACAGATACTAGTAAAGACTAGAAAAGAACCTTCTAGAAAATTAGCCTGATTCTAGCTAAGGATCTGCTTAGATCCGATAGAAAACTGCATTCTGAGGGAGAATAAACTGTTTGACAATACCCACATTTCAATTCAAAACCACATCCAAGTGATTTAACTAGCTCATCTTGGAAGTATCAACAGCAGTGTGAACGTTAGTCTGCACAGCAAAATATCCAGTCAGGATCCTGAATCCAGTTGAAGTCCACGCCAGCACTGGTCCACTCTTAGAGCTATTAAAGTTAACTAGTTCTGCATAAACTGTAATCATTCTTAAGAATAACAGAAGGCTTTTTAGCTCATCCTCAATACCAGCTTCCCAAAAGATCCTTTGTTTCATCTGCACTCTACTTACTCCCTTTTAGAAAAGACCTAACTAGCTCAACAAGGACACCAGACCCTACATTTCATCCTTCTGGAGCATTTCAAGTCATCTCTGTCTGAACCTAGGTATCTGAATCATTGCAAGAAAATAAAAAGCTTACATGTTGGTGTTTTATTTTATTGCTGAATATAACTGCCACTTGGTGATGAACATAAAGCTGTATGTTATACCCATGAGTACTCCAACACCATCCTACTGATGGTTTGGAGGTGAATAATTCCTGCATCTCCAACCTCTCCTTCTACAAATCTCAGAATCGATTATTTTTCTTTTTTCTCCTAATATATGTATTAATTACTTCACAGTACTTTCTGTTCCTTCGGTATAAGAATGCATATGTACATTTATGTGGAGTTTGTTCCTAATTCAATCATAAGGCAAGGGTTGAAGTAACAAATTTGACCAAAGTAGTACCTCTGTGACAATTAGCTTTTAAACATGGTATTTTACATAAAAATGCAAACTGAATTGGATCAGAAAAGCAGACAACATGCAATGACAACTGTGTCTTCCTGCTGACAGTTCTGTAAGTCCCTTTTAACTCTATTGATATACTGCACCTCAAACTCCTGCAGTGTTACAGTCCCATCTGCGATCAGTTTATCAGCATACTTCTTCAGCACTGGCACCTGCTTGTGAATCTGCTTGTACATTAGGGGCTGGGTGAACATTGGTTCATCCATTTCATTGTGCCCTCTCCTACGGTAACAAACCTGCAAAAGGAAAGATTGTTTCCATTGGTGAAGGAAGATGTAAAATGGAATTCTTTTATTTCATAGTTGTACAGAGATATGGAAGCCTCTGGTAGAAAAAAAAGTTTATAGATTACTGCAGATCTTTTTTTTGTTGTTTTGTTTTTAAAAAGAGTCATTCAGATGACTTTTAAAAGTCATTCAAATCAAACTATGTCTCCTGAACAGAGAAAACTTAAAAGAATTATACGTATACACAGAATGAAAAGTTATGAAAACCAAGACTTACTAAGTCAACAACCACATCTTTGTTGAATGTGTTTCGCCATTCTGCAGCTACACTGCACACATACATCACTGCTTCAGGATCATCAGCATTCACATGAAAAATGGGAGCATTGACCACACGAGCAACATCAGTAGGATATGGAGACGAACGTGCCATACGGGGGTCTGTAGTGAAGCCAATCTAAAAAAATCCAGGAACTTCCATTACAATGATGTAGATGTCACCCTCTACTTTGCTTTGAACACTTGGGTTTTCATTCAACAATCGCTTATGCAGCAGTAGTCTTAGCTTTTCATTTTGGTAAGCCATATGAGCTTTTTTCCCTTTGCTCCCTTACAAACTAAACAAAGCAAACATAACCCAGTTGTTACAAACTGAATGAAATAAACGTAGGTGTTGAAGTGTTATCCAGTCAGTTGCTAGACACTATGACTGTTTTCAGGATCATTCTAGCCATTTTAATGGACAGAGGATACAAGACAACAAGCTAGTAAGCAAGAATAAATAAATAAATATACCAGCAAAAAAAAAAACCCAAAACCAACAACACTCAGTACATAAATTGATTTGAAAATGTTCTTTTTATTACCTGGTTGTTGACAACAACATGAATAGTTCCATTTGTGGTGTAAGAAGGAAGGTCACTAAGATGAAATGTTTCATAAACGACACCTTGTCCTGCAAAGGCAGCATCCCCATGTAACAATATGGACATAACCTAAGATGGAGGATTGCACGCACAAAATCACACACATATTAGAAAGTAAAACTCCAGTTCTCAGCATGATCTCTCTTCTCTGTGTTTCTGTAGTGCTTATGAAATAGAATCTTATTTTTATATCAGCATCCTGCATTGTATTTTTACAATAAACCACAGACTTGTCAGCATTCTGCTGCCTTTGTTCAGTTCCAAAATGAAATAGTTTTAAGTCTGCCTTCTGAAGTTTCCCTTAAGGCACCATTCTGAAAGCTTTATCCAGTTAAATAGGTTACCATCTATCTCTTCCGGGAAGGGGCAGAGTGGAAGAGTGCAATACAAAATTGTTAGTAAATTATTTTTATTAAAAATACTTTAGAGCCTACTAGCAAGAATTACTATAACATTATACAACCTTTACCTTTTTTCCTGCAGTATCCCCTCGATAAAATTGTTCAGCCTTTGTCTTCCCCTGCACAACAGGATCGACTGCTTCCAAGTGAGAAGGGTTAGCCATCAGGGATAGAGTAATCTTCTTGTTTGTTGCTCTGTTAATCCTCTCATGATACATTCCCAGATGATATTTTACATCTCCAGATCCCTAACGTGCAAGATGTAGTCAAAGCTCAGGAATGTTATACACACAAACTGCATCTGACTACAGATTTTTTTCTGTATGAAAATTCTGCTTCATTCTGAGAAATGGATCTAGCTAATTTTGCATCAGTACGCGCTACCATTTTATGGACTGAACACAGACCCCAATTCCCAATGCCGTGTGGGAAGGGAGGCTGAACAGGATAGATCGACTGAAGACTGTCTTTAGCTTGCCTTTACTCCTCACTGCTCAAGTCTGTTGGTACTTGGCAATAAATCACAGTGATCTCCCTTTGATGAGTCTTGTTTTGTTTGTGACAGTGATTGGTAAGTAATCTCCCTGCCCTTACCTCAACCCAGGAGCTTTTGCTTCATTGTATTTTCCCCTCCTGCTCTGCTGAGTGGGGAAGTCAGTGAGCAGCCGCGGAACTTAGCTAGCTGTCAGTGTGAAACCACCACAAATATCTGTAAAATATTGATTCTCATTTCATACATGCAAAGATCACTTCAAAAGTAACGCCTCCTGTTTCATTATGTTGGCTCATGATGTCAGAGGTGGATGTTGGTTGTATGGCAGTAGAGTTTGAACTTTCCACGGGTATTCCATTCAATTTTGCTGCTGCATGATAAATGGCAGGAGAGGAGCGGTCTGACACAACAGCACCTGACAGGGAAGTGTGTAAGAAGCAAAGGTGTGGAATTTTATTCCTCCACGTGGAAAAAAATGTGTCCAGTGGTATCTGTTGACACTTGCTGAATGTTTATAGAGACCAAACAGTGGATGTGAGCTCAGCGAGGCAGTGGATGGCGCATCTCAGCAGTTTTGACAGTGAGTCACCTCTGCTGGTACAGATGTCTGTGACCACAGCATGCAGGTTCTTGTTCATAGTTGGTGAAAATGCACAGCTAACAATGGAGACTGTGTTGAAAAACAGTGCTTTGGAGATGAGAATTTGTTCTAGGAAATTATTATTGTGCTCTTTGTATCTGTTGTAGTTCCCATGTAAATAAATACAAGGCATTACTTTTGGAGTGACAACGACTCCTGAATACAACAAACCCAGTTACATCATCTGGAACTGACGTATCTTCACTCATTTTTTTAAAGACTCTATAATCAAGACACCTTCTGCATGTTAAAGGTACAGTACAGTCTTTGAATTTATTAAGAAATTTTATCAAATGACCTTTGTCCTTAAACGAGAGAATATGACAGTGCATTTCAGCACCTGATAATGCTATTATGACAACTATGACAGGTTAGGTCGCAGTTGGACTTTGTGACCTTTAAGGTCTTTTCCAGTCTGAGCAATTCTGTGATTCTATGACCAAAAGTACATTGAATGTTTATCTCTCTAGGTATATCTCTTGAAGAAGCACCTTACCTCATCAGCTGCTTCAAGTTTGGGATCAAACTGACAGAAGATCTGCTCCAGCTCTTTTCGGATGACATTAGCCAATACATTCAGCCTACCTCTAAGAAAATTCCAAACAATATTATGTCTCAAAAATGTTAATTGCATAGAGTCAGGAGCATAAAACTTTTAAAACCGCAAGACACCCCTGTCAGAAATTTGGAGTTCAGTAGTTCACTTTGAACTACTGAGCTTGAAACCCTTCATTCTATCCCCTTCTAATGCATTCCCAATGTTTTTAACATCTACTTATCCAACTACAAGCAATGAATTATGCAGATATCCAGCAGTTTTAACATGATATTAATTAGCAATTAGCAGACCGCAAAAGTATGTCTATCTCAGCCTGATTTCTCAATTCTAGACTCAATGGAATAAATATCACAGCTGCTGCCACACTTGCTTTCAGCTCCAAAGTTCACCTCTAAGGGCCGCAGCTGTCACTGACACGTCTGTTACATTTCTGCACAGCCATTGCTCACTCTAACAAACTCTTGCTTCCACAGCTTCTCTAACATCAATTTTATTAATAAAATTCAACTGCTCAAAACCTGCCTTAAGACTAAAACCATGCACTGGGGGGTTTCTGTTGGCATTACCTATGAGGCATCCCCATTATAACATATTCAATTCCCATTTCACTGGATTTATCAATGATCGTCTTAAGCGCAGGAATCATTACTTCACATCCTTCCAAGCCAAATCTCTTCTCAGAAGACCACTTGCGAGCAAGGAAGTCTTCAAATCTTCACCAAAGGGAAAAAAAAAACAAAAAACCAAAACAAACAAACAGTATTTACATTACGAAAACGTAGCAAATACTTATTGCTTATGAATACATGCTTACAGGCCTCCAGTGATCAGTCACACTTTGGGGAAAGGGGTAGAGAGAGGAAGACAAAACAAAATTAAGTCTTCCTCCTCCATTTGAGAATTATTTACGCTGACTTTGAAACGATTTGGATAGGCAGAAGTGTCACCATCTTGGTCAAAATTCAAGTTAAACAATTCTCTTTCCAATGTATAGCCCTTCCTAGAAAAGAAGTCTTCTCTATGGATTGAAAAAAATAGAGAATCTGTATTTTCTGGAGATAACTATTAAATGCTCAAAGAAAACAGCAGCAGAAAGCATGCCTATTTCAATAGCAGAGCTCCACAAATTGCCTGATGTAATGGCTGGAAATGTGCCAAGAGAAAAGACACAAGAATTTCTGGTCCAGCTACATCAGGAGAAAAGTGTGGATCCTTGACAATTCTATGCTTTTTCATTCTTTAACGCATTTGGACCAGAGGCAGTGCAAGTGGTTAAAAAGCACCTTTTAACAAATACCAAAAGGGTCACATGTTGTCAAGCGTGGAGATAAAAAATGCAAAGAGAATACATCTTCATTAAAATAACTGTATAAAATCATCTTTGCAATGTCTGGGCTTATAACGCTGCCATCATCCATTAAGACACTGCTTATTCCTCACTTAAAATGTTGACATCTACATCTTTGAAATGAAATTGAGGAGAGAAATGAAGAGACTCTCCTTAGATAAACATTGAATACCTCGGCTAAAACATGCTGCCATAATTCTGAGGAAGTCAGTGGGGTCATGCCTGTTCATATGAACTGAAAGTGGGGTCCCTATGCAAACACCAAGCCTTACAGAGCAAATAAGAAACTGGTTGTATACAGTTTTCCTTCTCTTTGCAGCTGAAAGCCAATACTGAACAATTAGAAAGTTTGTAATTTAAGTCAAGCTGTCAATAAGCGTGTAGAACTACAATATTTCAGCTCCATCTTGCAAGGCCCCCATATGCTGCTGTGAGTTCACAAGGGCAGGCAAGCTGCTGCTGCTGCTATGCGTATCTGGTGCTCAGCAAGGAGCAAGACAGCTGCTAACAGAAGGGGAAATACGGAAAGACTGCACAGGTATAAGATGCCCAGACTACACAATCGTTGTCCAGCACTGATATGTGGAGTAATGCACAAAGCTCAAATATCTACAGTCACTGTTTTGTGGGAAGAAGATCTTTTGTTCAACAGGCTACATGTAAGCATCGCAAAGAATGAGAAATCTTGCTTTAAAATACAGTTTCAAGTACCTGAAATATGTACTTGGAAGTAACAATTTTAATATCAGGATTCTTAGGTGAAATGATGGAGCTTTACAAAGTCTCTTTAAAAACTGTTCTCAAGACCACAATCAGTTGTTCGCAAAACCAGATTTCTTTTTTTCTTGTTCATTTTCAGACAAAACTAGCACTCTAGACGGATAGAAACTTAAGTAAAACTTTTTTCTTCCATTTACAGCAGAAAATTTATTTGGTAAAAGACGAACATTTGGCTGCTTCGTGCCACTAGAAACTGCAGATTTTTCCATAACTTAGATAAACAGGAATAACAGCAAAAATTTTTGTCCCCAGAGAAATGGAGATTATTACACTGAGAGCTTGAAAAATGAACTTACACAGGTGCAACATTCACTTGATCAGTAAGTGACTTATTTCTGTTTAACTTATAACTGGACAAACAATCTTGTTATAATATTGGCAAAGAAAATGCCTGGCAAAAAAAAAAAAAAAACCTTCCAAGACTTCCAATGCACCCTTCATTTTTAAGTCTTTGAATAGAGAAGCTTAATCAAAAAACTTGCCTTTAAACATTGCTAACTCTCATGTTTACAAAGGGATATGCAAACTGTTACAAAACATAACAGTTAGCATAACTCTCATGCCTGGGAAGAGAATCTAATTCAGGCTCTGGAAATAAAGCATTTCTATACAGTCACAATGAAATCAATGAGCTGCTTCCAGACATGCTTTCCTACACTGCAGAGAACAAAACTCTTGCTGCCAGCACATTTCAGTGTACTTCAAAAGGCAGAGGACAAAAACTAGACTGGAAATAAGATCTAAATCCGGTCCCATCTTGACACAGCTTTCCAAAGAGACTATTAGTATCCCAGTGAGTCAAACAAAACTCAGGTTAACATTCCACTCATCTAAAAATTCTCTTTGAATTGATAGTTATGATTGATATGATTTCTTTTGACCATGTGCTACCGGAAAGATATATGCATGGCAGAATATCAGCACCCAAATTTGTTACAGAATCCTTAGAGTTGGAAGGGACCTTTTTATGACTCCTATTTTTTGAAACAGGCTACGAATGTTCTCACATAGATATCACTAGTCTGCTGAAACATTTTTTCCCCATTATTTCTCCAAAAGCTAATCCAAACATTGCCACATTTGCCACAAAAGTCTGTGTGAGTGGCAAAGATCACCACTTCCCATTTAAGAAAACAGAACATTAAAATTCACTACACAGACCTTGATAAACCTCATAGTACATGCTTTCCCTAGATAATGTGGCCAGGTTAACTACACACACTTGCATTCTAGGTTTCATTTCAACTCTTAACCTCTACCTGAAATTTACTGAGCCCACCAGCTTCCCATGTTGATGTATACCCAGCAGTCACAGAGAAGTTTCCCAGCACCACCCCAGCATACCTCATTGAGCGCACCAGCCGTGCCAGCAAAGTCCTTTTTTCCTCATTTGTGAACTTCATAACACCTGGTGTCTCAAACTTCTGCCGGATCCATTGGCACTGCTCCACGTCATTGATGAACATAAATTCCAAGCCTATGTGTTGGCAGTAGGTATTCTAGGGTGTAAAAACACCAATTCAGGAGGCTTTAGGAATTAATGGGTCATGAAAAAAACAAGTAGAACTTGAAAATCATACTTTCTTGCACTTCTGAAAATCCTGTTGTATCTTCTCTTCCCCTAGATTCTCCTCACACAAATCCTATGGGCAAATAAACTATTTTACTGAATGCAGGCTTTGCCTCACTAAATTGAAAGCTTTCTCCACAGAATAACATTGAATAGTTTTGTACTGAAAGACTTCCCTTTGGATTACCAAAGGATTTTCAAAATAGGCCAACACGTCTGCCTTAAGCTTCCTGGCATATTTCACCTAACTCAAGACTCCTCTTCTGGACATACACAGTCCTTCCTTACACGCAACAGCAAAAATTCCAAATAATTTATTAAAATATATCCCGCCTTTTTAAAAGGTCACCTAAAGTAATAAAAACAATGAAAAGACAACTATGAAGCCTCATGCAAGTAATCTGAAAGCTACCAAAAATGGAAAAAAAAAAAAAAAAAAACAAATCCAAGCAGCTGAGAGCAGAGAAAGAAATGAAAAGCAAAAACTACACAGACACTTCTAAAATTTTAGCATCTTGTTGTATTTATTTTCTTCTTACCTCAAAACTAATATTTTACCAGAAAAATTGTGTTTAAAATACAGTCAACAGAAATAAGGCATTGTGAATTTGAACACATAGCATGTGCTCCCTACTGCATCTAAGAAGTCATTTAATTCAGCTTCAAATGAAAAAAAAAAAAAATCCAAAGCTCCGGTGGGAGGAAGGAAACTGGAGGGTTTTTCTCTTTAACACAGATCAGTTTTTCAAGGCTTTTAGATTTTGCTATTGATTTTTTCCCCTTATTTGTACATTATAATTTTAAGGATTTTTTTTTTTTTTTTTTTTTTTTTTTAATTACTGCCGAAAATGCTGGAAGTACAAAAAAACCCACATTTTGAGCTCCAAAGCAAACACAGTAGACACTGTCTGTGCATTAGATAAGCTAATGTAACAGTGGGTCAGATGTGCAACCCAACTCACTCTCTTACACTTCATCAGATTAAAGCACAGAGTTCCTATAAGCTCAGTATTTATTTTCTACTTACTTATGTTGCTTATTCATGATTCAGTTCTCTATTTTACCCTTTTAAGCCCCACTCACCCCTAGCCCTATCTACTGCAACGGATTTCACTGCCATGCAACGAAATGAAATCTCTACTACTTCAACACTACAAGATCCCCAAAAAAGCACAGTCAAGAACACTCCATGTCTACTAGCTTAGCAGTTCACAAATTCACTACAAGTTCTACTTAATGTCTGTAATTTCCTCTATGTACATTTATGTAAATTATTTACTATCTTTGATGACTTCACATGGCATAGCTGTATTTGTCAGAGAACAAAACTCAAAGAAGGGGACTGGGGATAGAAGCAATGATCATCACCGTCTACAAACTACAGCTGGGCTTTCATCAATTTGGTACCCAATTCTCCTATTTTTTACTAAGATAAAAGTCTCACTGAAGACAGGACACCAAGAGAAATCCCTGCACATCCTATGTATTGTTTGCAAGTGTTTAATATGTGATAGCAAGTAAACAAAAATTATAAAGGTTCTGCTGGTTTCAATCAATGGATCAATATAAGATCTTTTTTGCAAAACTATGGGCTGAATTAGTATTCTACATATTCCTTTTTTATATTTATCCTTCAACTACGTATTTCAGATGAAACTAATGGAACTACTATCTCTAAAAGCAGTACAGGAGACATTTCTCCTGTCATCTGAATTCTACGCTTGCTGTATTAATAAATGACAAATAAGTTCTCTGTGACTTACAATTGGAAAAAGTTCACTTCTGCAGGGATGAAAACAAGCCACAAATTAAAGATGTCATACTGACCTCCAGCCGTTTGATGATCTCTCGTAAAGAAAGACTGTTCTCATTTCCTCCTATGAAGGTGGTTGTAGGTAGTTGAAAGACTTTGTCCAAATCTGATTCATGCAAGCCGTAAAACCCTAAAACATGTGCATTATCAATTTGCAAAGCAAGGTACAAGGCAAAAAGGAAATCAGAATTGTTTTTCAAACAACCACAAACCGAAGTTTAATAAAGAAATATTAAGAAAGATTAAGAATTGAAAATGAGAATATTTTGAAGGCATTCCTTGTTATAATGCACTTCACTCCGTATTTTAAAGAAATGCGTTCATTACAGTTACTGCCATTGACTCACTGACACTCCATTTTGTACTTCACTGTTAAGTGAAAAGACTAATTCACAGAATCACAGAACTACCAAGGTTGGAAAAGACCTTCAAGATCACCCAGTCCAACCATTCACCTATCACTACTAGTACTCAGTAAACCAGGCCCCTCAACACAAAATCCAAACATTCCTTGAACATGTAATTGTAATAATCAGTGTAATTGTAATGATCAGGATCTCTTCCTTGTGGGAAAAAAAAGCAACAAACCAAACCAAAAAGAACGAGCTTCCACACACAGAAACAGTTAACAGGCTGGTTGGATGCCTACCAGATTGATTTATCCAATATTAATAATGAAAAAAAAACAGAACACATTCAATGCAACTCTGCCCAAACACTCTGGTAGAATTATCAAGGTATTTCTTCCCCTGCCTTTTCATGGGGAAGTTAGTTTCAAAGATCACTGAAATGACCTGTACAGCACTATTTCCAAAGCAGCTTATAAAGCAGATTACCCCACCAAAACAGTGTTGCTCAAGCATATCACATCATCTAGATTTAGAGCTATACAAATCCATGGTTTAGAATACAATTAAAAGAAAATATTTAACCATCATGTAGTTTCAAAAGCCAAAATACAGAACAGGCAAGACAGGCATCAATGCAAGTTAAAGAGTCCATGGGACAACGTTTAATCTTGACTTGTTAATGAAAAAATGCATATAATCTTAAAATCTTGCTTTTATTCTGGAAAGTTGCAGGCATCCACTTTAACACTGATCTGAAAGCCAACACACAACTTCTAAACCCTCATGTAACAGTGCTGTGTTCTCTGTTATTACAAAAGAAAAGAAAAGAAAAAAAGGCAATTAAAGATTAAATAACTACAGAAGTTAGTATTTAGAGCTGGAATCGGGCCAAAGGACTGTGCTGCAAGACTTTTACTATACAGCACTTTCAGTATTTCTGTTTTAAAGTTAATACTATATATTGTTAAATTTTTTCTTTTTCATAACACCAAAAAAAAAAAAAAAAGGTGGGGGGAGGAGGTGAACAGTTCCATTTAAAACAAAGCAGTGCTACCACTCTATACCCTCTTCTTTGCTGTCTGCCAGACTTCACAGGCTCTTCATACTCTGTTATAAAAAAAACAACAGAACAGAACATGTACAGGCACACACAGAACACCTGGGCTTTGTACTGCAGCATATTTACAGAAGCATCACTTTGTATTTAAAGAGCCATAATCTTAGTGAAACTAAGGAGTTCCTCAGCAATTCTAGGACTTGAATGTGCAGTAGGTATACCTGTAACTACTGCATTTCAAAAGCAACTCCCAGAAGAAACTTCCTACCAGAAAGTTGTGACAAGGAAAAATGCAGAGGAAAATGAAACATTAAAACACCGTCTGTGATATTTGAGGCTGTTCTTATGTTTTCTGCCTGAAACATTCAAAGATTTTTGTGACAGACAACACTTAAGATAATTTCTAATCTAATCACGGAAATTTTAGCTCAGTTACTAAGATTTCAGACACATTCTTCCCATCTCATTCAGAGTCCAAGCACGTTTTTCCTGTGCTCACAGAGCTTGCAGTATCATCTCTCCTGCCCAATCACTGCACTAAACTATCTGTAAAAAGTTAATCTGTATTGACATTGCAACAATCATTTATGACCTGAACAAATTATCTTCAGTTAGTACATATCCATTTTATTTTTAGTAGGTTCTTGTCTTTAAGGCTGACAAACTTCACAGTGAACCTTGATTTGTGTCAATACCTCTCTGTTTACAGACTTCAGCACTCCACTGCTTTTGTATGATCAAGGATCAGAACTGCTTCCCTTCGTGCCACCAGAAACAGAAAACACAGAGACTAAGCAGCAGCAGAGGTACTTAAAGTAAAACAAAGCAGAACGTGTTTTATCTGCTTCTTGCATCACATTTTATGACTAGTTCAAAAAGCTTCCCTATGTATCAAAGAAAAATTGATTCACTGTCCTTATCAGGCAGAATACCACCTTTCAAACAAACCAGGTATATCAAAGAGCAGAGAAAAATCAATCAGATGTTTCTTCATTCAAGTACAACAGGAATAAAGAAACCAGTCAGTACTACTTCTAAAAAACATGCCCTCTTAACAAGCAGAAACCCTCATCCTTACCAACCCTCTCAAAAGCAGATCCCTGTTTACTCTATTCTTCCAGCAAAGTAATAATAATCATTGTTTGATTATATACAATTCATGAATTCTATAGTTCCCATGCTTTCTTCTGATAATTTCAGACTTTGCTTCTTCAAGTGTAACATAAAGGATAAATACCAGAGGCTAGAACCCAACTTAGGTATGAAATTTCTGCCACGGTGGTTCCCCTATCCACCATTCTGCTTATTTCTTGTTTTGACTGGGGACATCTGAAGTTTAATCAGGATGAAAAAAAGGTACCAAGCATGAAGGCACAAATGTGATTTAGATCACCAGAACTTGGTCTGATGCACTGATTAGTAATAATTTCTGGTGTTAAAAAAAGTAAGAATTTGCATATTTATATTTAGAATTGTTACTCATCTGAAAGTGAACTCACAGCAACCTTACCAGTGACCTCAGGGTAGAAATTTGATCTTCATGAAGTTTGAGCCTCCTTACTGAGACTCAAGCATCTAACTATTTTGTGATACCATCAAGCACAAAAGGTGCAAGCCTTCCCGCAATGTCTCATTCAATCACCTCAGCCCAAGGAGACAGAAAAAAGACCAGTAACCATTGCAAATAACAAGGTACGCTGTGTACTCACCAAGTTTATCGATTGTAGTGATTAAGTCAGATGGAACAAACGAATCCAGGTCTGCATCCAGAATCCCAAGAGGATCTAGCTGAGCCACATGATGGCCACGGATCTGAAAACAAAAAGTGACAGAAAAACAAAATCAAGCTAATTAAAGTCAGACAAAGGGAATAAGTCACCGCTACCTCTCCAAAGCGCGTAGATAAGCCATGAAGTCAAAACAAGCAAACACTGCTAACGTCAAGAGTCAGAGTCGCAAAGTTTGCCCCTAAAGAACAAAAAACAAGCATTATTAATATCTCCAGATATTTATACTATCCCTATTAATAACTGTAGGCTACAGATTAGAATGCAAGGTTTTTGCTTGGCATTAAACTTAAAGTAGAATTACACAGAAATATAAATAAAGAAAACTGATATAAATGGTAAAATCTGAACCTTTGCATAAAGTTCAGAAAATAATTTGTATATTTTCTACTTTGGTTGTTTTATATTTATGCCTGAGTCTTCTTTTGAGCAGATGCAGAACACCAAAATATGGTATTACCGACCTTAAAAAAATGGATTGATGAGAAATAATTTTATATCAGGAGTTAAAAAAGATCAGTCTTCGTAATCACATAGCAATCACATCATAGCTTCACTTCACATAGCAATCTCTGTTTTCATGTGAGAAATTCCGGCAATTTAGTCTATGATATGAATGATACTGAGGATACTAGAGAGCACACAGGAAGTGGGGAGTTTAGCCAGCTTTCAGTTATCAGGATTGCCACTGTCAATGCACACAAGTTGCTATAGATTAGTGCCTTACATTAACACACAACAATACTACAGAAGAAATAACTAATTAATTCAATAGAGACACACGAGTGCTTTGTGTTGGTTTTTTTGTTTGTTTGTTTTTGTTTTGTTTTTCTTTTTTTTATATGATCTCTGTTATGCATGAGACTCCTAGACCAAATTACCTCATTAAAAGCTTTTAATTGATGAAGATTTGACCACTTTCTCCTTACTACTTTTCAAGGAGAAATTCAGATCATATGAGCAGAATTTCATTCACATTGCTAATATCTCAATTGTCTCTTTATATTAATAAACTGGAACATTAATAACTTACATCACAAAGTACTAGAGAGGGATTAAAGCGTGGCTCATTTATAAGAAGTGACTTATAAAAACACTATTCAGACGTTCTGTATTTGCTGTATTGTTGATTTCACAACAAAAGCCATTCCACTCATAAGCAAACAAACTGAAATAAGGCATCTTATTTAGAACCACCAGCCCTGCAAATTCAGTCTGGCCTCTGAGACTCTTTGCATCTCATGAATCACCAGTAATAAAGCTCTGACAGGCAAAATGATGCCCACGGCAACATCTGTGCCACTTCATTGTTTACAGCAGCACAAAGTCTATCTGACTGGAACTAAGCAAACAATTCTGTCTCCAGCATCATCAACAGGAAAGAATTCACCTCCCTAAGCTACAGCTGCTCTCCAGTATTAGCTGGAAGATTATTAGCAAGAGTGCCAAAACCCATAAGAGCATATTAGTAAAGCATTGTGCCATATTACCAACTGCAGGAGCAGTTGGTCTTTAACTAAAACACAGTACACAATATCCATTGTGCCCAGTTTTCACAAGAGATAGAGGGTAAGAGCGAAGGAGAGGGTAAAGGATGAGCCAGCACAAAATTACAAGCAAACATGAATAAAGAGATAGTTGAGCACGCATGAGCAAACACATGCAAACAAGCAAGAAAGCAAGCAAGGCAGATCTTGCAGCTCAATCAGATGAGATAAAACAGTCTCTAAGTGCTTCATTTCCAAGCTTAGCAAATCTATCTTCTACTGAATCATTACAATTCTTTAATCTGGAAAATATACACATCTTCTCAAGTCAAAAGGATTCACACAAGTGACCACTGGTTACTAACAGATAACAGCAAGGGCTAAATCCTGATCCTGTCAAGATCATGAAATATTTTCACACTAAGAGTTTGTACAAAAGACCTTCTAAATAACATAGCAGTTACTGCTGAGGACAGCATACCCTCTAAGTATGGTTTGTAGATTGTTCCCTGATAGACACCCCTCAGCACAATCAATTTTATGCATTTTGCACATTTCACCTTATTGGAATGAACAGGTGAAACAGGCAAGTAGAAACGTCTGATGGTTGTCAGTGTTTCTAAGAAATAATTAAATACTATCCTAATATTACATCTAACAGGCAATTTGCAAAGCATCACAAAGCCATCCAGCTAAACTATATAAATATATATTGCTACATGCAGCAACCATGACCATCAAGTGAAGTTTACAGTATTTCTGTACTACACTTTGACCTATCATTTGTAAAGTGATTTTGCAGCCCGTAGCAAAAAGTTTTGTTATTTTTCTTGTTTCAGACTAGGGTACATTAGAGACTGGGTACTTTTACTCTCCTCCTCAGTTGCAGACCTTTTAACATGAGGAAAAATGTATTTCTAATTTGAACAAAAATCAGCTACTAGATATTGAGGCACAACAAGAACAAAATTTAACGCAGCCTTGCAAATGAAGTCTACATTTTGCAAGCCATCTAAATGCATCTAAAGGGCAATTTTACTAAAGTATTTTAATGTTTTCTCAAAAAAACATTCTTTTTTCTTTTCTTGAACCTAACAAAAGTCATACTTTTCTTTTTCAGTTTAACACTTCTAAAATCAAAGTGCTTGCCTGCTATTACAGAGGCACTGTAAATACCATCCTCCATGCCTCCAGAAAGCTTTCTGTAGTAACCACAGCTTCAAGCTCTGTTTAAAAAACAGAAATGAAAGGAAACAAAGTCAAATGGATATGGCTACTCCTGTAGTTTTTGCAGTATCTTACAAGAAAAGAAAAAATTTAAGAAAAATTACCCCTTATCTATCATGAACTGCCATACTGTGTGATCTACCAAGTTCAACAAGACTAATTAGTTTTATTCTGTACTATTTTATGAAAACAGAGTTTAAGAACATAGTTATTTTCAAGACGAGCTCATTCGCCACATCCTAATCAGATAACATTTAGCAGAGGTGCTAACATGTATGTGTTAATTGAGCTGGTTTTACTTGCTAGGAGCTAAACGATATTGAATTCAAAAGAGCCACATGCAGGGTCAGAAGACACAAACTCAGAGGGACCAAGCCAAAACACCTGAGTCAGTACTGATGGTGGAGACAGGATGCCAAAAGGTATGCTTCTGTGCCAGTGCCTAGATGAATTTTTGGAATATCTGCTCCAAATATCAAACAAAAGTCCATGACTGTTACGCACTGGTATAGAACTTAAAACCTCACATCCAATTCAGCTTCAAATCAAAATACAATTGTCATTAATTGTATCAAAACAGTAGCTTATTTCACAGGCATCTCACTAAATCACAGTGCATCAAAAGCAGCAGTCAGAAACACCATTCTGGACACAGATTCCAAACAAATAATTAAATAAAAGAGGAGCCAAGATATTAAACTTAAAAGCATTTTAGTGCCTGTGTTCATTTTTGTTAAGCACACACTTTCCACTGGAAATCCCTTCATTGTGTCCTGTGCTTTGCGTTAGAAAAGCAATAGATTAACTGCCTTTCCAGAAGACCTGCTCAACAGACCACAGGGCAGTTTACCACAAAAACCATAAAACAGTGACAGGTTTGAGAAATGAAAATTCTGTATCTTTCTCAATTTCATTTCATTATCAGGCAAAGGAAGGTCACAAATTGATCTAATCCCTTCAACGCTGAATTTAGAGGGTATTAAATACCTTTTAAAAACAGACAGTTGCCTTAGGTAATCCTCTCTCATTGTCTGTCACAGACACATAGGTTCCTGCCATTTACAAAGACATTTCCATTCCGTCACTTCAGTCAGATAACACACACTTTCAAACGCAGGAGACAGAACAGCCATTCCTTAAAGAGTTTCAAGTCAAAGTAGCTTCATGTTCCCTAACTTTTTCCAATTCTTCAACAAAATTTTATTGCAAGCAAAAGTTAATAGGCTGAAGGAGTTGTTTACCACATAGATATTTCAAAGTAAGCTTTGTATTTTCTCTGCATTCACAAACCTTTCTACTCCCTTACAATATTTCTCCAAAAACTGGATTAACAGGATTCATATCTGAATCGCTGGTGACAAGGCAATATATGTAGAAAATGAAGTTTTCACACTGTTTTTAAGCCCTTAGTGAAATCAAGATACTAAACACAAGACCAAATAGAAATACTTCAACTTGCTTTAGACTTGGCAAACGTGTAACCAAAACTGCTGCATCACTTCCAAAATCCTTTTTTTTCTTTTAGAGGAAAAAGGAAATTATGCTATTTAATTTAATAAAAGGGTTAAAAAAAAATCAGAGTGTGAAATAAAGTCAATTTTGATGAATAGCTTCTCTAAAAGCAATTCATCAAAGCTGACCTAAACTCAGTACCTTTCAGCCTCCCAAAATTCAGTCTCTGCTTCATTCATTATTTCTCCTCTCTTTTTCCCTACAAATAATCCTGCTCATATCAAAAATCTCAACATGCACACTGGATGCATGAGAAGGTAAGCACATTTCCTTCTGTCTTACAGGAGACTGAAGCATTTAGAACTGTAACAGCTTCCAGTTCAAGACAGACTTGAACTGTGGAAAGGTTTGTTGCTGAAGAGTGGGAAAAGCTCTTATTTAACTGCACACATCTGAACATCATCAGCACCTCCATACTCTCTCTTCATAAGAGGTAACATTAGTTGAGGTAATTATTACTTATCATCCCAATTTGGTCAACTGAGCTGGAGAGAAAAAAAGTCCTAATAGGCAGATGTTAAGATCAAAAGAAAAACAAAAGGAAGGAAAAGGTTGGTCACAAAGGAATGAACTCCTTACCCCTTCCCCTCAGTACACTTACTTGGTACGCTCTTATTAAAGACTGCACAGCAAGATGATCTTCAACAAGTTTTTCAGCTTTCCCCGGTGTCCGGGCCAGGCCATGGCTCTGAAGAAATGATGCCTTTCTTTCCAACTGATCTGGCAGTTGAGGATCATACGTTTGGCCAGCGTTCGCATTACGGAAAAACAAATCCCAAGACTGGACATGCGTACAGAGAAGGAAGGAAGAAAATTCCTTACCTCAGATGAATATTTCAATCAAAAGCAGCAGCTTCAAGCTACTAATTGTATCTCACTGCATGACAGTCTTAAGTACAACTAACAGCAACAAAAGAGCATATTCAATGCAGGATAAAAGCTCTATCTTTTCTGCCTCTGTAACATCATAAGCAATGATAAGAGACCAGAATATACCAAGCTAGAAGGATGCCAGAAAGGTCATTAAGTCCAATATGTAAATGCTCCACACCTTTGCAGCATCTCCATGTCTTTGTTTACATAGAAACCTTTTTGTCTGCCTTCTTAGACTGAGCTTACTCAGTGGAAAACTCCAACAATACGAGTGCAAAGCACCCTGATACAATATTCATTCACACGGCTCTTTTTCACGGCAAAGCTGATTCACACAACCAGTAACAGGTATAAAATTGTGCTGTTAATAAAGACCTACCAAGCCTCTAAAACTGAAAACCTTAATAACTGAAATGAAATCATTCCTTTAATGATACTTAAATAGTTCATGATATTTAAGATACTCAATGAATATGTTGACTCAGTCCTTAATAACTTTTCTTGAAGAAACCACTCTGCTGAGTGAGGCTTTTGGTCAAAGATCCCTTCCCTGCTAGCTCAGAACACCTTACTATCAAAGAAATCACAGCCCTGGTTTCAGTTGCAGGTGACAACTTCAAAAGAATACACATTTCAAAAACAGAATTAAAACAAAAAGTCCTTTTACTTCCACCTACACTTTTATATATTTCACTTCAAATATTCATTGCAGAATACACAAAGGAAAGAAAATTATGTAATACCAGTTAGGCAACAAGAAAATATTTTTAAAATTATATTTTCATTAATAAAGACAGTCTTCACACTGATATTTCTGCAGGTTTTAAGGCATTCAGGAACAATAAGAGCAGGCCAACCTATGGTGGCAAAACCTCACTCAGTTTTCCAAGTTTAAGTTGTAGAAGTAGGTTCAGCACTCACTGAACCTGTGAACAGAAACTTCTTCATGAACATGAGCATAATGCCAGAAAGAAACTCTTCTAAGGCACCTCTTATACTCTGTTATTAATATGAAGTTGCATTGCTACAAATATGATAAACATATTTAATTATCCACCCTCCTCTTATGCAGGCTTGATGTAACACAGTCTCATTCGTACACACATTGCAAATCAAGATAGGCACCTCACACGTCGTGGTTAGTTTTAGGAAATAAGTCATGCTTACCACCTTTACTCTTCTTTGCATCACACCTTACCTGTCACAATTAGATTAGAAGTCCAAATTCATGTAACATCCTTCAAGAGTCTATCAGTACAACTGTATTGCCTTTGGTATTCTGTCTGTATACCTTACTCCACATTAAGAACCATATTGTTATTCTACACCTATACAACACACGGTCGGAGAGATTGCAGGTCCCAGACCATGGTAAACCAATACAATATCTTTGTGTTGAAAGTAAGGCTACGTAGACTGCAAGAATTATTTTGTCAATACAGATATTAATTTTCAATATTTTAGTAATTTCCAAACACACATTTCGAACCATGACAAATCTGACATTCATGCAAAGTTTAAATAAAGAATGTGTTTTGCTTATCTCAGGGTTCTTCTTTTCTCAGCAGAGCCGACTGTATTTCTTTGTTTTGTTAAAAGTTATCACAGCACAGTCCCACAGAAAAACTGAGTATTAACCTAGTGGACTGCTGAGACATCTGCTAATAAAATCCAAGCAAATTTGCCCAAGAAGCTACTGGGTTAAGAGCAAACACAGGCACCCTTCTGCATGCAAATTCACAAACAACAACAAAAAAAAACCTTCAAAAGGTTCAAATATGAAGACACCGACAGCTAAGAGAGAAGGAAACTACACTATTTCTTAGCGTGTTTTTGAACTTATTGATTTGTTGAGCCGGTTTGACATTTAATCAGAGGGGAGGGAAAATATATCATTTGGCTACAGAAAATTAGTTTTTTCTAGACATCCATCCATCAAAGCCTTTAAAAAATTCTCTAGTGCCTTTCAAGATTGATACCAGATTATAGTCCTCAAGTCTTGTGTACTGATGCCAGTTTCTGGCAACGGCATTTGCCAAATGACTGAAAAGACAGAAGACAAACTTGGTCTCACAGCTTACCTAAAGGTTCTCAACTAAACTTAAATTTTAATTAAATTTAAAATATGGTATGGAGAACTTATAATAGAAAAATACATCTATACACATCTATGAGGGAAAAAAAAAATCTAAAGTGGCACAGAAGTGATACATGATACATTCTTCTGCTTTTTTTCTGACAGCAAATCCCTACTGCAGTTAACCACTATTTTAATTTCTCAATTAACGCCATACAATTCAAGAGATTAAGTGGCGATATCTTACTCATATAATAAACAGCATTACACTTCAACAACTAAAACATCTGTTACCTTGCCAATGTTTATTTTTTCCCCTAGTGCCATGATATTTATCAACTGCACTAAAAAGAGTAAATCCTTAGAAAGACACACACTGAGCATCACTACGTAAAAACCAAACAGAGGAAAAAAGTCAAACAGAGGAACAAAACCACCCTTTTTCCAAGTATGCACAACAAGAAAGTGATTACATGCTCAAGGTAAAGCAGCTGCATACAGGATAATATGGAAGACACTATGTACTCAATATCCAACCATGCAATTTGTAATTAATCTTGTGATAGTTATAACTGAGCTTTGTCAAGCTTCTGCTTTATGATCTATGGCTCTGACACCACAATTCAAGCAGAAATAATGATGCCTTTCTCAAAGCCCACGTCATTTTATTCTGATTGTTGTTTTGGCTACTTTAAGGACAGGAAAATTCAGAAGACAAGGAAAAACAGGAAACAATCAGGAATTGATTTGCACAATGAATAGAAGCTCCTACGAAATAAAAATATGCTAGCAAATACGTATGCATGGTATATAAAGAAAGGAGACATTCTTAGGATTAAGAATGTTTTAAATATGTTTTCAAATAAACATACATGGCAAGACATACCTATCAATGCAGGGAAAAATCACTTGAGGAGCCTTGACTAATTGGAGTTTCTAAGTAAAAGTAAATAATGTGATCTTAAAAGCCAAGAAAAATAATAATAATTTAAAAAGCCTTTTCAGCTCATTAAAAAGGAGAAACATCTCTGTTCATAAGAAGGAACTACCTATGAGGAAAAAAAAGGAAGGAGAATTTAACATGTATAAGCCTAGTACAAGTTGTCTCTCTGAACAACGCAGGATATAATGGATAAATAATGAAATCACCATTTTCTGTAACAGAATGACAAAATCAGAAATTCACCTTCTGCCATACCACTATGACATACATTTTCCTTACCTTTAAGAAAACAAAGTGACTAAAGTTCTCAGCATTTTGTTTTTTCAAAGGCTCATCTAAACAATTTCTGTCAATAAAGGCAGTTTAAAAGAAATCAAAAATTAAATTCACTGATTAAACTAAAATTTAAAAGTTATGTGTGATTACAGCATTAATCTCTTCTCTCAACTGAAAAAAAAAAAAAAAAATCAAAAAACCACAATTATTTAAGCGTGAAGATTCGTAAAGTAATTCTGTCAATCATTTAGCTTTATACTCATAGTTCATTCAGTTCATTACTGCTCCGCTACGAGGGCGGTGGGGTCAGGGAGGCTCCCGCGCTGCGGGAACTCGGCGGCGCAGACCGTTCAGCACCACAGACAGCTCCCGGCGCTCCGGTAGGTGACAGCGAGTACCCGGGCTCGGCGCTACGACTGGCAGCGCTGTAAAGGGTCTGGATGAGAAGGGCCGCTCCCCCCAGTGAAAGAAGCTCGCTAGAAGTTGATGCAACTTAAATACATATTTATATAAAGACAACACCTCAAGTAGCACTGAGGGATATGTTCATACGCACAGCATGCTCACAATGAAAGAGCTGATAACAAATTATACCACCAATACCAGATGAAGGCCTCATACATTACAGTCAATAGATTGACACAACACGCTGCCTTGCTCTACACTGGTTGTCGATGTAACTGGCAGCGACAAGAAGACGAATCAAAGAGAAATAGCATGAGAGAATGAGCCACCCCTGGGGAAGGTCTCTTCAGCTGCAAGTTAAGGAACAAGACAAAAGGCCTGGCACCCGGCTGCTATTGGAACAACATTCAGTCTCAAGACTCATTACTGCCTTTTTCATCTTTTTCATCAAGATCGCACTCAAGATTCAGAAAAAAAAAAAAATAGTTCCAGAACTGCTTATTTCAGTCCCCTTTTTTCCCCTCTCAACATGCATCACTTGCACGTTATCCATCTTGCACATTCCTAGATAGATTATCAGACCTACAGCAACAGGTTGTAAGTGATATTTTGATGTACGTGCCCCAAGAATAAGGGAACATACATCCAATTTGGTAAAATACTTCACATTGCTTCTGCAGAAAATTAGTCATTTGCCTTAGAATTTATCTAACTTCCTTTTGCTTCTTAAGTTAATAATATACATGTATCATTGTAAGAAAGCCTTCCTTGTCAGCAGAAAGCTTATTAAAAAGAGTAAATCCATGTATTTTGCCCATGGGATATCAGCAACAGTCTAAAGAAAAACAAAAAAACCAACAACCAACAAGTATCTGTAGTCTAGAGAAAGACAATGGAATAAGTTCTTTATAGATTCTTAAAAATTTTTAATTTTTTTTAATAAGGTTATGACTTGCACAGTTACCTGGAGAAACATTCATTCATCTTCTTTAGACAGTTCAGAAGCAACAACATCAACATAAGCTACTGTATCATCTGATACAAACTTACTATGATGAGCTAAAAAATTAAAGGTATTTCATTTCTTTGATCTTTCTCAAGATCTGATCACTTACTTCACAATCTGCTGTAAAAACCTTTACGTGGAAAAATGCTGAAGGTTTCTGAGTAGCTCACTATTTCTAAAATGGACTTCTCATTCTTTCAACTCAGGTCACCAAGCTCACAGCTCCTCTATACTTTTGTTTTGCTGCAATATCACATCTTAGATCAATCAATATGTGGGAAATTAGTTTCACATTTTTCATTTCATACAAGACTTTTTTTCTGGTTTTAACTTGCCTTATAAGAAATCCAAAAAAATCAATTCTACTCAACCTAATAGTATGACTTACAGTTAACTTTTTTACTCACCTTATGTACACTTTGAGGGTTTTCAAGCCACGCATAATACATTTCCTCCACATAATTTGAATTACTTCCACTCAGGAATGGCTCTGAGGTTCCTGATGAAACACAGCGTTGGCTACGGAAAAACACCCTCCTGGCTACATCTGGCTTTCGCAGAGTTTTAATGCCATGCCACTTCACTGTAGCTGCAAACAACTTCATATGACTCATTTTTGTTTATTAAACAGAAGATCCAAGTCTATTAATAAGACAAAAACAGAACTAATTTAGAAAAAAAAAATCAGCAAATGAATTATAGACACATTCAGTCTCACAGCAAAAAATTAAGTTTCTGACTGGAGTATTCTTTAACAAAGCCCTTTAACATGTAGGCATGAAGTCATTGACAGGAGAGAGGCCACTCCGTGACCATCTATAGAGCTACACTTACAGCCGTGGAAGTGCTGCTGATATCTGTCCCCCACATGGAGCAGCTCATGTCCCAGGTTCTGTAACTGGTAACAGCACCCTGGTTTCCAAAGCAAAAGCAATCACAACTCCACTTGCACCGTGTGCCCCCTGAGTCCAGGGTCCCTGGGAATCAACAAGACTGCTAATCATTGACTTTGCTGGAGCTCCTGGCAACCGTAACTGCAGTCAACCAGCTGAAGAAAGATGTAACCTCTTACAGAGCCTAACAGGGGTAGGTTCAAGAAACAGTTTCAACCACAAGCACTGTGGCTGAAAAAAATAAATATATATATATATATATATATATATATATATATATTTTATGCCACGTGCAATGATGCTAACAAAATAATTATATACTAATAATTATATACCACTAATAATAAGCATTGGTTAAGTCTTCATATTGACATATTCACTTGCCATTTCCTATTTCACAGATTCAAACCTTGTTATACACTGACTTGCTCCTGTCTCAACACCTTGCCCATGATAACAGCTCCTGGCAACTGCAGGAAGATAAAAGCTCCTAGCACTAGTTTGGAAGCTGATTAAGTCCTGCAAAAGCTCAGAACAAATGGGACAACAGAGTTAAAAATAAACTGTCCCTACACAAAATTCTTTCTTAAGGCATAATAGCACTAAAACCACTATAGATATGTAACACAGTCTCATAGAATTTAATAAGATTCACGTGTTTCAACTCTAAGAATTGAGATATCAGCAGGATTTCCTATCTATGCCCATCCTGCCTGAAATTATTATTGCACACTTTACTCCAGGTGAATCTCACCCTCTACTACAAAACATCTGTACACGTACCACAGGGGATGGAAGTTTGTTTCTAAAGGGTTACCTGCTCTCATTTAAAGTGCTTTGCTGAGATAAAAAGGAATTAAATGAACATTGTATTCCAGTTCATTGTATTCCAGTGGCAAACTTCTTAAGTACATACAATTTCACATTCCTTCTTGCTAAAATACCTGCCTGGAGATGTGTGTATCTGTCTCCTAGCAATAAGCAAAATAGTTTATAAGGGAGATTTGAAAATGAATGCCAATTCTGCATACAGCATTATATAATCAAAACAAAGTTTATTATTGGCACCAGCCACTTCCTCCAACCCCAATTTGAATTTCACAATCCAATCTTAACTGTTAACATAGAATCTACAAAGACAGATACGCAATACATTTCCGTGGAGGTATGAAAGTCACAGGTGAATAAAACAATTATTACAGACATTATTCCAAGTAAATCTCCAGTGTGTTCATAGAACATCCTGGCACACCCAGCCTTGAGACTGTCAGTCAAAAATCAGCACACAGGACAGCATGCAGAAGCTGTTAGGATTGCTCCACTCTGTTATGTTTCCTAAATCAACTCTGAAATGGAAACTGTGATTGACAGGGAATAAAGCTGAGCAAGAAACAACCAAAAGGAAGATATTAATTAAATTGCTACCAGAGGTCAAAAATAAGAAAGAAGCAATAAACCAGATGAAGAAGAACCTGATATTTAATGCACCAAAGCAACTTTAGAATGGTGAAAGTAAGTGAAAGCTGTAAACAGGTGAGAATTTCTCCAGTGCAGCTCTGCAGTATTGTGTGCAGATGCCAGGATGCAAGCCAGCTTGCAACTTGGCACTCTGAAGCCATGACGTAACGTCAAGGACAGCCTTGCGGACTGTTCCAGTCAGGTTTCTAGAGGGTATCAAACAAACAGCAAGGCACTTCCAGCATTTGTTCTGCTTTCTTCTAGATTGTATTGAACAGAGATGTTACAAAGGCAGTCACACATTAATCAATATTCTCCTGGTAATGCCAGCACCAGTACTGTGTTTCCTTAGATCAGAGCCCTGACACCAGTGCTAACAGATGTTCCTTAGGACTTGCACCAATTACACAAAAATGCTCATTCATCCACTACCACGTTCATTTTCTCCTACATGTTGCACGCAATTCACTCCGAGAGCTCTTCTTTGGATAAAAGAATTCTAATAGAACAAGGCTGGTAGGGGGAAAACAATGAAATGTAATGAACAAATTACACTCAAAAACTTGCAGTGGATCACTGCGAACAGAGGGACAAGCATGCTGCCGCTCTACATAAAGACGCACAATTGCCCAACCAAGCAGGACTGCAAGAAACTCACAGGCCACTCATTTATCTCAGGGCGAGCCCCGGGGTACCTCTAGTGCTTCAAGGGCGAGGAGCGCCTCGCGAGCCCAGCCTGCCAACGACCCCTGAGGCTGGACGGCCGGGAGGCACAAGGGCGGTGGCTCCCCTTCCATCCCCACAAGGCCACGACCCGCCGTGCAGAGCCCCGTCCTCACAGCGAACCCTCATCGCGGCCCGGAGCCGCCGGGGCTGCCGCGGGGCTGCGGTCCACCTTCCTCGGCCCGGCGGCCGCCGCTCAGCGCCTCGCGGGCAGGCCGCGCTCACAGTCCGGGCCCCCGCCAACCCTCGCACCCGGCCCACCCCTACGAGCCTCACCCCCGCCCGCGCCGCCAGACACGGGGCCGCGCTAAGGGAGCGGCGAGCCCCGGCACCGTTACCTGCGTCACGTGAGGCGCGGCGCGGCGACCGGTGTGTGCGCTGAGGTCACGGCGCCGTGCACACCGGAGCGGCCGCCGCGCCCAGGCCACGCCCCTCGACCCGCCGTACCTCGGCGGCGCGCGACCCCGGCGCCATTTTGGGAGGGTCGCAGCCGTGCGGCGTCTCTGAGCTCTCAGTGACGCGCTGATGGGGTGGGCGGCTGTGAGCGGAGCGCTGGAGTGTGGAAGGAGCGCAGTGCGGGTTGTTCCAACAGCGCCTGTGAGGGCGGCTGGAAGCTTCCTAAGGGAGATGGGAAATGCCCCAAGGCCGTCCTGTGTGCCATCCAGGATGAGGATGGGCAAGGTCCGGAAGCAGTACAGCTTGCTTAAGTGCCTACAGCTGTGTTTAAGGTTTTTTTTTTAATTGCCCCAGGTTATGTGGCTGAATATAAAACGCAAGACAATAGTTTTAAGTATTTGTTTGCTACTCATATATTTATTTCTACCTTCCGAGTCTTCCTTTCCTGGATGTCCATGAATTCTGGGCTCCTCAGTTCAAAAAGGCAGAAAACTTCACAGAGCATCCAGCACAAAGAAGATGAGGGGCCTGAGCACCTCCCATGCAAGGAAAGGCTGAGAGATCTGGGTCTCATCAGTCTGGAGAAGAGAATGCTGAGAGGGGTGCCAAGCCGATCAGTGGCACACAGCAATAGAACAAGGGGTAATGGCCACAAAATGCAACACTGGAAGCTCCACACAACCATGAGGAAGAACTTCTTTACAGTGAGAGTGACAGAGCACTGGGACAGGCTGCCCAGACAGGTGGTGGAGTCTCCTGCTCTGGAGATTAAAGACCAGTCTGGACACCTTCCTGCTCAACCTGCGTTAGTGGGGACGTTGGACGCAGTGACTTCTAGACATCCCTTCCAACCCCTACGCTTCCATGAAGTTATTAATGCCATTCCATTATAGTCTGCTGTAGTTCAGACACAACATATTTGTTGATTTATACTGCAAAGTGAATGTGTGAATATTTAACACCAACAGTTAACGTGTTTCATGATACAGTGTACTGGGAATAGCCTGCCCAGAAAAGCACCTTACATGGATGAGGCTGGCAGAAAAGGGGCTGCCAAGCTGCAAAAGGGGGGCTCATCAACCCTGTGAAATGGCACGTGCTGGGCAGGTACTTGCAGACAGCCAGGTGCTGACTGAGCCTTCAGGCAAGTGGTGAAATATTGTTGGTTGCTACATTTACTGATTGAGTTTTAACCTTATTATGAGCAGACAGAAGCCATCTTTAGAGCAATCATGCTATGCTGACTGAACATAAATGCAGTTAAAAATTATAGTGAAGATGAGCAGACCTACCTTCCATCTCAGAGGGAAACCCACATGTCAAAGGTGACTTGGAATACCATTGCAGTGAACAGGCTCCGTAGTAGTCAGTTGCCTGCTATTTTTGTATGGTTCCAGTTTTAATTCTTAAAATTTCCATTCACAGTTCTAGCTGTACTTGCCCATTTGTTTGCTTATCCCTTCCTTTTACTCACCCCTAAAGGAAGACACGTACACCATCCTTGCTTCCTGCTGAATTGTCACACTTTCAAATTGTCTGGGATGAAAGCCCATTGGTGGAATGAAAGCTTAGAAAATCTGCAGTTCAGAGCAGACACAGGGCCATGTTTGACAGCTTGCTTAGGGTCGTTCTCATGCCAGCTCTTTATCAAAAGAACTCATATGTTGAGGAAACTGTGCTAGATAAAATATGTGATACAGGATAACTATGATAGTACCCCTGAAATGTACCCCTGAAGTACCCCTGAAGTCAGATAGGAAATTTTCTGTTGTGTTGAAAGACATGCCGCCTCACCGTGGGTTGTTTTTACATTTATCCTTATTTTCTGTAGTGTGTCTGCTTTAATCTGACATGCTTTCTTCTTTATTTCTCTCATGTCTTAACTCAGGCAGGAATTAACAGAACTAGAACCACCAAACCAAACTACATTTTAACAGGACTTGAACCAATTTGTTCTTGAAAATTGAATGTGTTGCCCTTCGGTTCTCTTGAGCAGCAAGGAGCATGATTTGACTTGTCATTTTTATTACTGCCTAACATCATATGACTGTAATGCCTTGCCTCTGTCCTTGCTTGGTTTGGTACGTTGGTTTCCTTGCCAGACCAGCAGCTACTTGCAATCAGCACCGAGGTTCCTGAGGTTA